GATGAACGATTTAAAACAGCATCCGTTTTGTTTTTTACAAACTGTGTAGAGAAAAATTGCACCCTCCAGGAGCGCCGCCCTGTTAAAATAAAAAAAAAGAATTTCTTACTCTAACCTCCCCTGAAGTTTTATGGCGAGCGGATGAACGGGATTAAACCGCAATCTACTTTTTCGTATATATACCCTATATAGGGAAGAATCGATTCGCGCCCTGCTGGGGCACCGTGCTTGTGAAATATATCCAGTGGTATTCTTAACTTAAGTTGCATGGCCATAGGATGAAAGGTGTAGTGCTGCATAGAGGACATAAACAAACCCACAAACAAACAAGCAAAACTTCATTATATATATACATAGAGAGAAATATACATAATTCTACATATGCATATATGCATATATATATATATATATATATATATATATATATATATATATATATATATATATATATATATATAACTAGATTTGGTGACTTCCCATTTTCCCCAATGGCGTCAAATTTTGCACATAATCCACCTATTAATTCATGTGAAAAAAAGCATCGTTTTCATCGTAAATTATTAGATTTTGGTATCAGCCTCTCTCTGATCGTCGCTTAGCAAATCTGTTATCCAAAAATTCAACAAGCATGTATTCACCTGTACATTTTGCCGTTTGTGTCATCTCCCCTCACCCCCCCCCCCCTGGGTGATAGTTTTTAAACGTGCATAGTTAATTGTATATATTTTTTTATCTGCAGTCAGTTATTAGTACAGTTAACTCTCATTAGTCATTTATTGAACTGGCAAAATGCATACTTCTTCAATATATTTTGCTATTTTTCGCCATGGTGTCACCCCCGAAATGTTGCCACCTTGCGCAGTCCACAGCCCCGCCCCCCACCTTGTGAGGCCTCTGGTTAGGGGTACTACTTGAGTACAGTAAATATGTATATATATATATATATATATATATATATATATATATATATATATATATATATATATATATATATATATATATATCGGGGGGGGGGGGTATAGCCCCTTGGCACACCTTGTACCTACGCCACTACATAATCATGTTCTTAAGATTATATGGCACATTCTATGTATAAATTCGATAAAAATAGCTATTACTTATTCTACAATTTTATATTTGTAATAACATATTGTAAACGAAATGAGTCTTAAATTCGATTACAAAATGGGCCTTTATATTATGTATTTTTTCTATTTTGCAATCATATCATGTATTACTTGTTGTATAGCCTAGAATCTAGATTCTATAATAATATACTAATATATTATATAATACTTAATCCTATATTATATCGTTTAGTAATCTCTACCCTAATGTTTTCTATACCGAATAATCAATATTCTGTAATATAAATTAATCATATAATCTCTAAAATTAATCATAACTATGATCACAATTAAATTCAGCAATCCACTGTATTAATTTATATTGCTAAAAATAATTTAATTTTCAATTTTAAAGATAGAAGATACATTTTTTATAATATTAATTATTATTAGCTCTGTAAAATGAATGGTTGTTTAATTTTTCTTATATTAAATATTTTAAGCGATTAATTAATCGAAATGGTTTTATTCCGTTAGCTAGTTTTTACAGTTTATAACTATAATTAGAGTCTCAACGACAGAATCAAATGAGAAAAAATCTATAGCGTTATTATATACCGACACTGTTGATAAGCCACTCAACGACAGTGTCGTTGAGAATAGTGTATGATCGGCTGATCTAGTAGTTGTTGTGTAGGGTACTGAATGACCATAGACAAGAATGAGGAAGCATGACATGTCGGCAACTTTTGCTGTGTTTGAGGCCTAAGATGTGTGTTCCGACAGAAAATACAATAAAAATCGTACTCAAAATATAATTTTTGTGCTGTATTTATGTGTGAAAATTACAAAAAAGGACTGTTATAAATTGCCATGTTATTAGTTAATACATTTTATCCAGAGGCGTATCCAGGTTTTCGTTGTAGGGGGAGCGAAAAGAGCAAAAAAGGCGCCGAATTTTTAACACGTTCTACATAAGTGTATTATATATATATATATATATATATATATATATATATATATATATATATATATATATATATATATATATAATTACTAGCTGTATGTCATTACTTCGCTATGATGTAAAATAAATTGAAAGAAGCACTCTGAATAAATAAGATAAAACACACAATGTAGGCCGACAAAACAAAAATTGTATTAAACTAAACAAAAAAATATATATACACACTACAACCAAAACCAATGAACGTAACACAATCTGTTTTGTAATTCTTGTAAAAAAAATTCTTACATAATAATTCCTGGGAAATTATTTAAGACAAGTGAAATAGGGGAAATAATCACTCTCTTAATATAAATATGTATATATCTACACATTTAATTATAAATGTCAAAACAAATAAATAATTACTTTAGAATATAATGAAATTGTTTAACAATATTCGTGTTTACAAAATGTTTTTGTCTATAATCAGAATTTAATAAATCGTCATCATAAATGCTAAAGTATTACAGCATAATGAAAGTTTTTAAAATCAGAGTTGGTATAAAACCACGCTTTTAGATTCTAAAGAAAGCCATTCGGAATAAAAGCCTACATTTAACTAAAAGCGGTCTTTTAGTTCAGATCATATATTTTTAAATAACTACTGCTTCTTTGTGTTCTTTAAAGATCATTTTTAACATAGTGATAGGTAAGCGTTAGATCACTGTATTGCTCACACACCCTTTTACTGGTAATTGCAAAAACAATATTCACAGTTTTACGTTTAAAAAGCTAATTTTCTGGCGGCATGGTACTTTGGTACATCATTACGCGTTTTTCCACATGTACTTAATAGATCAGTTCTGGGTGGGTTGGGGGGGGGGGTGGTTTCAACTTCATTCACCACTGTCCGGTCACTTTAGGTTAATTATCCGACCCATTGTATACCTAGGTGTGACATTAATGTCGCTCTACACAATTGTAGTGGTGAGGTGTGGGGAGGGGGGAGGAGATAACCAACTCAGAGTGAACATAGCGTCAGTTTTTAGATGACTGTTCTTCCTTCCTTCCTTATACGGAAACCGGCTCAGAAGGTTCACTTCCATTAGCCAGGCAGGCCTCAGTGTGGCAAACCCCGAGAGAGTTTCCCACACCTTGGTCGCTACTTCCGTGGGCTCTCAACGGGCTTTCCTTCCCCACCCACCAGACGCGGGACGTCGTCCTACCGCCTGGTACCCAGCTTGATCGTGGGGGGCCTTCCGCCAGATCAAAACCCTCTAGCTGCTGTTATCTGCCACTGGCCATTCCGCACCCACTAGGGGGGACATGAGTTTGGTCGGACCAGTGGCATTATTCCGAAGCCCCGTTAAGGCCGCCGCCTTAATGACTGTTCTAAACATACATATATATTACACAAATATATATTACACAAATATATATTACAGAAATAGATTTAAATAAGTAGCAGTGGTATTATGACAATATTTTTTTTACAGAGGGGTCCATGGGGGAGGGGGGTTGTAACTGTTTCATATAATTTTGAATCGTAATCACTATCGCCCAAACTGTAAGAATACTACTACTTCATCGTGATGACGTTTAAAAAGAGGTGCCACATCAGTTGTATTTGTTTCTGTATTGTATTTTTTTTTAAATTAATCACACGATTCAAACTGTATATATATATAAAGTAATTATTTTTGAAGTTTTATGTATAAAAATTTCTATTTTCAATTATTCGTAAACAAATACATTATACAGTTGCTTTAAACTTAACACCCCTCTTGCCAAATGGTACTACCCGTAGAGGCTATTTAAACGTTGCAATGCGTCGTAATGGTTATTTTTAGAATGGCAAACTGATGCAGCTGTTAATACGTGTTGTAAACGTAGACACTACTAGACTAGTACAACAATGCTTAATTGCTCCATGAAAAGAAATCTTGTGATTTACATAGATGTGCCGACCAAAAATATTTTTTTAACAAATATCATTGTTTAAAACTTTGAGTTTAAAAAGTTTCCAAAAAGGCGCCACTTTGCTGAAAATGGCCAGAGGGGGAGCGGCCGCTCCCCCTGCTCCCCCCCCCCCTGCGTACGCTACTGATTTTATCGTTTGTTCCTGTTTTGTGAAAACAAAATTTTTTGGAAAAAATGTCCTACATTCCTGACGTAACAACATTCTGTGATTCTGATACTTGAACTTATTATGTAAAACTAATTTTATTTTAAATTACTATTTCTCAAATAAAATTGTTTTTGCAAATAATTTTGTGATTTTACATGTTTTAAATTTCCTTTTAAAGAAGTTGGTTAAAAACAATTTTATTTATTCATGAGAGATATGATCTCTTCTTCTAAATAGTATTTGTCTTTTTATAGATGTTTCAGTTTTCCCCTTCACCTAACATGTAATTTGGCCGTAGCCATTATTAAATTTATAATAGTGGGTCGTTCTTTTTTTTTATTCATAAAAATGATTCATTTTTTTAACAAATTTTTTTAAATATTTAATAGTAGTTCTTATTAACTCTAAAGGAAAAGGAATGATTCTCAATTGACATCATACTCTCAATTTTGTCATGAAGCCAAAATATACCAGATCTGTTAAGTGTGACAGCATTTTCTCTTTCTTAAAATATACCAATGTTTGTCTTTAAACGTTGCAAATTACTGCAATTGAAATACTGTAAATATTTCAGGATCTACATTACTACATTACTTTCTATGGTGTGACTCAGTATTTTTTTCTTGGGATTTTCGTGATTTTGAACTATTAGTTCTTTGAAATCATTATTTATTTATGAGTGACAGACGTGATATGTTTTTTGATGGATGACCCCCGAAACCCACAGTTATCCAACGGATGACGGGTAGTCTAGTTTAAATATGCCCGGTGTGTGCAACGACGCCATTTGTGGCCCGCCATGGTCTGTGGGTGTTCTACTCACAAGCTTACACGCCCGTTATTGAATCTTTGCGAGATGTACAATACCAAGAACCTCAACTGGTATCGTGTACATACCTTTGTACACGATACAGCGGAAGATGCTTGGCAGCCATCATTTACCCGTTACAATAACGATCGTCGTAAGCCTGTAAGTACTATAAAAGTGAAACACCCACAGCGAACCGTTCATGACGTAGTTTCATCACCGGGGTTAGTGCCCAATGGGACACTCAAGAACTAATCAAACATAGCGGACGTTAAGGGGGCATAACTCTGTTCAAATTTTATTACTATAAGTAACAGAGTAGAGTTTGTTTATATAACGGCATAAGGTTATTTTATAAATGCCACTGTTTTTTCTCTTTCGCATAACGTAAAGAAAATATTAAAAACACGCAAACTGCTAAAACATATTAGAAAGATTAATGCCAAATATTATTTTCTTTTTTATGCTTTGAAAAGGTGGAAACATTTTAATAACGTAATAACAGTAGGGTAGAAAAATCAAATTAATTTAACTCTTTTTCTAACTTTGACAAGGGAGATAATTTAGAAATAAATTAAACTTACACTAATAAAAAACACGTGAATGCAAACCTACGGAACTCCTAGAAGGAATTAGTGTTGCAATAATATAATTAGCAAAATGTGAATACAAATTGTGCGGATGCGGATTGTTAGGTATATTATTTATTAGTATTCTATCTTTCAGTTTGCGGACAAGCTGGGGGTTTTATAGGAGAGGCGTAGCGAGGGACGGATATATGTCCCCGGGTGCCGACCTTAGGGGGCGCCAAAGTGGGTTGGAAATAAATTTGCGGGGGGGGGGGGGGGGGGGTGGAAATCGAAAGTCCTAGGTAGGGGCATGCAAATCAAAAGCTTAAGGGGGTGGGGTGGAAATTGAAATTTTGACGGGAGGGGGTGCAAATCGTAAGTTTGTCCCCGGGCGCCGGAAAGGGTCGCTACGCCTCTGTTTTGTAGTCATTCACTGTGTCAGACGCGTCCGCCGGTGCTCGGAAAGGGCGCAATTTAGAACTACGGGCTAGACTGTGAGCAATACGCCTTTATGATTGCATTTAAATTGTGTTTATGTTATGAGTGTTGTGTTTGTTAGATTCTAGACCAAGATTCGTAAATTTAGATTTTTAAGTATTAATAAATTAGGCTACTTATTAAAAAACTTCCTTCTTGGTGGAGTCTAGATTCTCTAGACCTCTAGTTAGGCAGATCTAGACTAGAAATCTAGATTTTCTACGTACCGCATAGATTCTATGTCTAGTTTAGTGCAGAGTTTCTTCCAGGCGAAGCCCCCCCCCCCCGAAATTTTTTTTACCGCCCCCCCCCCCCCCCGAACGAAATGAAATTTATATAATTTATATAGAAAATATATACTTTTAACAGTGTCCGCCCCCCCCCCCCCCCGAAGAAAGTTTACCGCCCCCCCCCCCCCCCGAAGATTTCAAGTGCCCCCCCCCCCCCCCCGGAGAAAAAAGTCTGGAAGAAACACTGGTTTAGTGTATTATCTTGTTAAGCCTAGTGTTACAAAAGCGCTCCTGGGTTATTTGAAGAATCACTCCTTTTGATTTCATTGGTTGTTTTTAATACTGATTCTATTTATAGCGCTACATTTTTAAAAAGTAACAATAAGGAAATAAATATGATACAGTAAATATTATAGATGGGAATAAATTAACCATATGCTCTTATCTGCCTACACTTTGTTTAAAAAAAATCAATAACATAACCTTTCAACTTTTAGAAACGTGCGATTTCATTGGTTAGCTACTTTGCGTTGACACAGACTTAAGGTCTGTAGGCCATACAGTACACACATCATATTCACTTCCTTGTGTAAAATTGTACAATCAAAGGCCTAAAATGTAATTAATAGTTTTCCATAGTAGCATAGAATATAAAAACAGCCCACTTCGACGTATCGAATACATTAAATTACCGATTCTCTCGTGATAACTAAGCACTTGGGTGGAAAATGGCCGAAATTACAAAAGTTGGCATGAAAAAGTTCGGATGTGGCCAGATTAAACAAAATGGCGGACATCGAAATGCCTAATATTTAGACTTAAGTTTAGAGAGAGTACTCATTACACGACATTTAACACTCAGCAGCCCCATTTTCAATTTGACTAGAAATCTAGATAGCTGATATTCTAGATCTAGTTAGGAGATAAAAGAAAGTAGGCCTAAAGAAAGATCTTTAAATATTAAATCTAGATCTGGGGGTCAGCGTGGTTGAGTCGGAAAAGTCTCGAGTTCTAACAATCGGGTAGATGAGGCTCGTTAGCTGGGGACAGCCACTCTTCTAGGAGAGACATCTCTAAAATCAAACAACTGCTGCCTTGTAGTTTGTTCTTGGTTGGACAAAGGCTTTGGAAGCAAATCCAAATAGAGTCCTTGCAAACAAGTGACCTTATAACTGTTATTGACAGTTTCGTGTATAATAATATATTAGTAGTGTGGGTTTTGTAGGAGTTAAGTGGTCTCACGTTTGCTACAGTACTACAGTTTGCTACTGTCAGTAGTGTGGTTGTACTATATCTATTGCTACTAAATCTTGTACTTAACAGAGATTCTAGAATCTACATTAACCAGATCTATATAGCCTATAATATATTACTGCATTTGACCAGATTCGTTTACTTAAACTCTATACGCAAACAGTATTACAAACGGTATATTTATTTAGAAATTTTGGCCACATATTTATATTATACACGAAACTGTCAATAACAGTATAAGGATCTTCAATTCCTAAGAGTTCAAGTTTTTAACGTATTTTTCCGCGGGTGCGGTTCTTTACATACAGTGAACGCATCCAGCGCTGGTGAACAGCTGATTGTGTTTACGTCTCGTGTACACCACCGTGGCGGCGGGCGTAGGTATCGCGAACGGACGTGACATCATATGAAAGGACTCTATAGAAAAGCAGGCTGAAATCTGAGTCAATGGCCTGAATGGCGCATAACCAGTTGACATGTATACTTATTTGTGTATCTAGAGTAGAGATTCTAGGCCTCTCCTAGATTGCTAGAAGAGTATGTTTCTATTCTAGATCTAGATTATCTTCATTTAGCCTAGTGAGTATAATGATTCTAAATCTAGAATCTATATTTTTCATCATTTCTTACTAAGAATTCTTCATTGTCCTACCATCCAATCCTGTCATTTAGGCCAATATAATCTGTAGGCCTTGCCCTATTATAGGTCTATTAAAAAATTTTTTTTTATTTTACAGCCCCTATAATATAAATGCAAAATATTTTGAAAATTGACAATTGATTTTTATCATTGCCAACAATTATGATGGAAGGATTCTTATTAACTCATTGATGTCCAATAGACTAAATTATTAGACTAGATCTAGTTGCAAAATTAGATTCTATCTAGGCCTAACTGTCTAACTAACCAACCTAATGTAAGTTTCTGTGGTTGATCTTCTAAAAACCCCGCTTTAAAGTAATTTGTACTCAAAACCTTGCAGATTTTCAGTGACAAATTGAAAACACCCAAAATTGTTTAGGCTTTTTTTTTCTTTAAATTTTGTATAGTTATCAAAAATACTAAAAACATAAATACATTCAATCTTTAGTAAAGTCTGATAAAACCAAATAGTCAGGTTTTTATAAGTATCATATTTAAATAACAGCGTACATGATTTTTAAAATATTTAATAATGAGTTTTTGAGACTATACAAATTGGTGTAGATTGGATAGATGAAAAAAACACTGCATTGTTACAACCTAGAGTCTAGAAGAATCTGGTCACAGTGACTGGGGACGAACTACTTCAACAATTCATTCATAATCACAAATACAAATAAAGAAGTTTATTTAGTACCGGCAATATTCATATTTAAAGCTTGGGCATTGTATACTGCTTAACCTTTCAGTAAATGTTAAGGGAAGTAACCCAAAATATTTTCTCAATTCCCTTGTTTTCCACAGAACTAACTTTTTCTCTCTTTCAATATTGATTTAGTCGAAGTATGCCTTGTTGGATGAGAGGGATATTAGCATTGTTCAACAACATGCCATTGAGGTATCTGAATTGTTGGCGTAACATTCCATAACATTTTAGTTTAAAAAAAACAACAGAAAAATAAAAAGTTTAAGATTGTTTAATTATTAATGTGTGTATTAACCATTTTCAAAAATCCTTCTTCATTAAAAATTAAAAAGTTTTGATATTTGTTAAAAAAATATATTTTTAAACACATCACAAAAACATATTTCATAGAATACAATTAAAATTCTTTTTTTTTTTCTACAAATTTCTTTTAGCTAAGACTAGAAGTAGCCAAAGAATTCTTTTTTTTTAAAACTCTACATTATTTTATAGAATAGTATAAATTTTTTTTTTTCTTCTACAAATTTCTTATAGCCAAGAGTAGAAGTGGACAAAAATGGCAATGGGGCACGGATATATGCCATTGCACATGATATTGGAAAGAGTCGAAACTACGGGAAATATCTTCACGAGCTGCTTTGGTAAGTGTTTATCAATACGGGATAGCATTAGCTAGCATGCTGGCTTCTGCAATAATGTATACATTTTCAATGGCTGACTTTCTGTTTTTTTTTAAAAAATATACTGTAAGTAATTTGGTATGCAGGAGTTTTTTAAAATTCCTTTTGGCTTTCTGCTGAGCCTAGGGATTGAGATGACACTTTGCCAACAACGCAATAGGTGTCTTTTTTCTAACCCACTGCCCCTGGAAATCCATCCTCTATCTTGTTTCTTTTGAAAGAAGATCATTGCATTTTTGACCTCCCTTGCATCCTCTTGGCCTTTGAATTCCTACCCCTATCTATTCTAGTGGCTTTTGAAACAGTTTAAATTTACTAGTATTTACCAGTATTATCTGGTTTTTAAATATAATGTTGCTTTGTTGGTTCTTTTTAAAATCTTATGCCATAGCTCTAATATTCACCATTATACTAAATTATAGAGGAAAAATCAATGTATCATATTGTTGTCACTGTTGAGTGTACAAAAGTTATTTATTCAAACATCCCTATGCCTCTACAAACCATATTCTTCCACAGACTTGTCTCTTTTGCTCTTCTGTTTCTAGACTCCAAGCTACTTTAGCTCTGTCTCCATACTATCTTCTATCCATTTGATGTCCACTGTTATGTTAACCGTTTCAAATTTTCAGGGAGAGGCATAAAGGTGGGATTGCACCAGGCTGGAGGGTTGTCCACAAAAATCATGTCACAGTGGATAACCGCCTGGATAACTTGGAGCTGGTGAAAGAGGATGGGATGGATATGTCGTCCCATCACCAAGACGAGGGGTCGGGTGGTCAGACCAAAAACCGGGAAAACAGTTTGTACTGGATTACTGTAACACAGCTGCTTGGTGACCCACTGGAAATGGTGAGAGTTTTTAAACTTATTTAAATCGTTTAAATATGACCAGTTGTATAACATTTTAAAAATGTTTAATCGTTTTGATATAATCAGTTGATTAGAATTTCTATATTATGTCAGTTGGTCAGATTTTCTGCGTTTGGTAAGTGTAATTATCTACATGTAGTCAGATGTTAAAATTGTCATCAGATTATAAATGGTTTAGAATTTTTAGATGGTCATTTATTTTAAAAAGTTGACCTTTTATTATATTCTTTTATATTTTAGTTATCTTTTATGAAAAAAAGTGTATTTGTTAAATAAGATAAAAATAATAGCTGTTTCTATTTACCGTTCTAATAAGTTTTTTTTTAATGTATTGTTTAGAACTACCACCATTTGAACAAGTGGTATGATTTCAATGGAGACATTGTAGATCCTGCAGGTAAATTAAAATTTAGGACACTAGAGCCAAATACTAAGATATAACGAGCAACAACTTTAGTGCCTTAATATGGTGGGTGGTTAGGCAGTTTTTTCTACCTCTTCCCAGGTGAGAGCTACATCTATTATGAGTGTCACTACCCACCATGTACTAGGATGGAGAGAGAGCTGCGAGAGTTCAGTATATGTGGGCGGTGCCAGGAAGTTAGGTTGGTCTCTTACAGTTTTCATTAGAAATTAAATGTGACTTAATTATTTTTAATTATATAATACAATTTTGAATAATTTTTTTCTCTGATGGTGCTGTTTACATCGAGGCTAGAATCATGGGATTAGGAAACTGATTTTAAAAAATATTACCTTTAATTAGCACAGCTTAAATACAAAGAAGTACTGTTTAATTTTTTAATCATAAGTTGTCAAATATTTTAGTACTTATCCAATATGATCTTGTAATAATGTAAAATACAAGTAGAATAGTAATCATTCATATACATTATAAATATTATGGTTAAATATTGTATTACTTATCCAATATGATTTGTAAAAATTAAGATATTTGTAGAATAAACATCATATACAATATAACAGGATTCCAACCCCCCAATATCCAGAGAGACTGGTTTAGAGTATTGTGTAACCACTTCATATAAAGGGGTTTGTATAAAAAAATAGTCATCCTTTTTAGCCCAGGGCAGTTGATGTAGAGTTCACCTTCGGTAACCTGAGCTGATAAATGGATAGTTTGATCAACTCTAAACCCCTAAACTTGTCAGGTATCCATAAGAGCCGGGTGTACAGGGATATCTTATATTAGTCAGTGAACCAAACTTAAAGTTTTGGAGAGCTGTGTTATGGCTCAAACATACTGTCCCTTGAAGAGTTGTTGTGGTCAGGACCAGCGGTCCCTCTAAAGGAAAAAAACTAGTGTACAACATGTATTTTATGTGGTCAGTGTTCTTAAAGTCTTTACAACAATATAAGTGTTTTACAAAATGACTGCAGCGTAGCTCAAAACTACTGCGCAACCGTGCAGCATAAAGAGAACATTGGTCATGACAAAGCTTGGTTGTATTAATTTTTTCTGGAGACCTCTATCAGATCTAGACATTACTGTTGCTATCACTTGACCAGTTCATTCCTTTTTCCAATAGTGCTATCAAAAAGGTTTTGTAAATTAAAAAAAAAAAAAAACTTGTTCCTCAACAGATACTGTGGTACTTCTTGCCAAGAAAGAGATTGGCCCTCCCACAAAAGATTCTGCAGAGAGCGCAGAAGACACACAAGGGAGAGTACACCGGATCGGTGATAGCCAGCCATTGGATAACATGTGAAAATGATCCTTCCATTTGACCTCCTGTCTAGTCTTTTAATATATTCATTGATTGAGTCTTAGTCCCACTTTTCCCCCAAGTTAACCTAGTCATTTCATCCACACAGATCATTTTAATCTACTACCATCTGTTTTTATGCATTTTTGATCATATATGTCATAATACAGTTCATAACTCATAAGGTATAGAATATGTGATATAATTGTGATATAATATGAAGCGACAACAGTCACAACGCCTACATTGCTCAAAATTAAGGGATAGGAAAACATTTGTGATAACTTTAACTTGTAAGTTAAATCCATCTGTACTATATTTTTAGAAAAAATTTATGACTAACGTTGAAATTGAATATGGTAGCATTACTAAACTACACATAGGCCTACTTGGTTGTATACTGACGTTTAATATTTCCCTTTTTTTTTGTTAGTGTAATTATGTAAGACTGACATTTTCCCCCCTCAAGTATAATGAAATGCATTCCAATGTTTTTTTTAAAATAATTTTTTTTAATGATCCAAATCCTAACAAGATAGGTTATGGTTTAGCTAGCTTTAATTACCTTTGTATTACTGCTTACTGTTCTGATATTAGAATCTTGTATTAAATCTGTCTCATCTTTAACTGTTATGTTGTATTGATTGACTTTTTAAAATCAATAACTGACACCAGATCAGATTGCCTGCAGGTGAACCCATTGTTCTGTTTACTTTATTGACAGTATCTAGTCTGAGTTGTAAAGGGAGATAAGATGTATGACATACATAATATCAACAATTGTACATTTTTTATAGTAATAGATCTTACCTAAACCCTGAGTTATGCAAGTTCATAATTTGGCTGGCCAGTGCTACCTGATTTATGATACAACTTTTTGTACTTAAGGAAAATACCTGATCAAAATGATGTAAAGTTAATTAAGAAATATAATTATTTACTATAGTAGGTAACATAATGATGGTAAGGCAAACTGTAAAGTACATTCTATTTATTCCAAAGAAAATAATTAATTCATTTTAATATTGCATGAAACTAAATTAAATTGCTTATGAATAAATTCTGCACTTGCATGATGAACTTATTTAAAACCATGATTATGACAGTTTGTCAGGTTATTTATCTAATGTAATCTTATTTTAATATATTCCTGTATGAAAGCTGTTTTCTATTTCAATTTTCATATTTTTAATTGATCATTTATCTCACCAATCTATAAGCATTTAAACATGAAGTTCAGTTATTTAGTACTTGAATATTGTATTATCTATTTACGGCTCATCTTGGGTATGAGATGTTCGTGCCCTACCAAAGCTTTGGATGCATGATTAGATATTTTTAGATGTGCCATAAAGGCTGCCATTAGATATTTTTAGAAGTGCCTCTGAGGCTTCCATTAGCTATTTTTAGAGGTCTTTAGAAATACCATACATTGAATAATTATGACCTGGCTAAATTTAAACAGTATGTGTGTAATGTTTTTTTTTCAACTAAAAACTGTCTACCAAATGTTTTTAAATGACTGTTGTCTCAAGATAGTTTTAGATCATTTTAAAAACCTTCATGTGTTTGATTTGTGTGCAATATTTAATGGCTGATTACAATATTTGTAATTTTTTAAACACATTTTTAAATCTGCTTTAAAAGAAGTCATTTTGACTGATTAAAATCTTTTCTCGTATTAGTTTTATTTCATACTAAATCCACTAATGTGCTGTGGTGTTGTCCATTCCATAACTAACATCATACAGTTCAAGTCCCTTTTCAACAGCGCTCCTTCCCCAGTTTTGTCATGTCCAAAAGTCAGACTCCGCCTCTCAGGTGCTCTATGTCATTTAAAAATCTATGTATAAAATATACATATGGAATTTTTTGGTTGTATACTGACGTTTAATATTTCCCTTTTTTTTGTTAGTGTAATTATGTAAGACTGACATTTTCCCCCCTCAAGTATAATGAAATTTATTCCAATGTTTTTTTTAAAATAATTTTTTTTAATGATCCAAATCCTAACAAGATAGGTTATGGTTTAGCTAGCTTTAATTACCTTTGTATTACTGCTTACTGTTCTGATATTAGAATCTTGTATTAAATCTGTCTCATCTTTAACTGTTATGTTGTATTGATTGACTTTTTAAAATCAATAACTGACACCAGATCAGATTGCCTGTAGGTGAACCCATTGTTCTGTTTACTTTATTGACAGTATCTAGTCTGAGTTGTAAAGGGAGATAAGATGTATGACATACATAATATCAACAATTGTACATTTTTTATAGTAATAGATCTTACCTAAACCCTGAGTTATGCAAGTTCATAATTTGGCTGGCCAGTGCTACCTGATTTATGATACAACTTTTTGTACTTAAGGAAAATACCTGATCAAAATGATGTAAAGTTAATTAAGAAATATAATTATTTACTATAGTAGGTAACATAATGATGGTAAGGCAAACTGTAAAGTACATTCTATTTATTCCAAAGAAAATAATTAATTCATTTTAATATTGCATGAAACTAAATTAAATTGCTTATGAATAAATTCTGCACTTGCATGATGAACTTATTTAAAACCATGATTATGACAGTTTGTCAGGTTATTTATCTAATGTAATCTTATTTTAATATATTCCTGTATGAAAGCTGTTTTCTATTTCAATTTTCATATTTTTAATTGATCATTTATCTCACCAATCTATAAGCATTTAAACATGAAGTTCAGTTATTTAGTACTTGAATATTGTATTATCTATTTACGGCTCATCTTGGGTATGAGATGTTCGTGCCCTACCAAAGCTTTGGATGCATGATTAGATATTTTTAGATGTGCCATAAAGGCTGCCATTAGATATTTTTAGAAGTGCCTCTGAGGCTTCCATTAGCTATTTTTAGAGGTCTTTAGAAATACCATACATTGAATAATTATGACCTGGCTAAATTTAAACAGTATGTGTGTAATGTTTTTTTTTCAACTAAAAACTGTCTACCAAATGTTTTTAAATGACTGTTGTCTCAAGATAGTTTTAGATCATTTTAAAAACCTTCATGTGTTTGATTTGTGTGCAATATTTAATGGCTGATTACAATATTTGTAATTTTTTAAACACATTTTTAAATCTGCTTTAAAAGAAGTCATTTTGACTGATTAAAATCTTTTCTCGTATTAGTTTTATTTCATACTAAATCCACTAATGTGCTGTGGTGTTGTCCATTCCATAACTAACATCATACAGTTCAAGTCCCTTTTCAACAGCGCTCCTTCCCCAGTTTTGTCATGTCCAAAAGTCAGACTCCGCCTCTCAGGTGCTCTATGTCATTTAAAAATCTATGTATAAAATATACATATGGAATTTTTTGGTTGTATACTGACGTTTAATATTTCCCTTTTTTTTGTTAGTGTAATTATGTAAGACTGACATTTTCCCCCCTCAAGTATAATGAAATTTATTCCAATGTTTTTTTTAAAATAATTTTTTTTAATGATCCAAATCCTAACAAGATAGGTTATGGTTTAGCTAGCTTTAATTACCTTTGTATTACTGCTTACTGTTCTGATATTAGAATCTTGTATTAAATCTGTCTCATCTTTAACTGTTATGTTGTATTGATTGACTTTTTAAAATCAATAACTGACACCAGATCAGATTGCCTGCAGGTGAACCCATTGTTCTGTTTACTTTATTGACAGTATCTAGTCTGAGTTGTAAAGGGAGATAAGATGTATGACATACATAATATCAACAATTGTACATTTTTTATAGTAATAGATCTTACCTAAACCCTGAGTTATGCAAGTTCATAATTTGGCTGGCCAGTGCTACCTGATTTATGATACAACTTTTTGTACTTAAGGAAAATACCTGATCAAAATGATGTAAAGTTAATTAAGAAATATAATTATTTACTATAGTAGGTAACATAATGATGGTAAGGCAAACTGTAAAGTACATTCTATTTATTCCAAAGAAAATAATTAATTCATTTTAATATTGCATGAAACTAAATTAAATTGCTTATGAATAAATTCTGCACTTGCATGATGAACTTATTTAAAACCATGATTATGACAGTTTGTCAGGTTATTTATCTAATGTAATCTTATTTTAATATATTCCTGTATGAAAGCTGTTTTCTATTTCAATTTTCATATTTTTAATTGATCATTTATCTCACCAATCTATAAGCATTTAAACATGAAGTTCAGTTATTTAGTACTTGAATATTGTATTATCTATTTACGGCTCATCTTGGGTATGAGATGTTCGTGCCCTACCAAAGCTTTGGATGCATGATTAGATATTTTTAGATGTGCCATAAAGGCTGCCATTAGATATTTTTAGAAGTGCCTCTAAGGCTTCCATTAGCTATTTTTAGAGGTCTTTAGAAATACCATACATTGAATAATTATGACCTGGCTAAATTTAAACAGTATGTGTGTAATGTTTTTTTTTCAACTAAAAACTGTCTACCAAATGTTTTTAAATGACTGTTGTCTCAAGATAGTTTTAGATCATTTTAAAAACCTTCATGTGTTTGATTTGTGTGCAATATTTAATGGCTGATTACAATATTTGTAATTTTTTAAACACATTTTTAAATCTGCTTTAAAAGAAGTCATTTTGACTGATTAAAATCTTTTCTCGTATTAGTTTTATTTCATACTAAATCCACTAATGTGCTGTGGTGTTGTCCATTCCATAACTAACATCATACAGTTCAAGTCCCTTTTCAACAGCGCTCCTTCCCCAGTTTTGTCATGTCCAAAAGTCAGACTCCGCCTCTCAGGTGCTCTATGTCATTTAAAAATCTATGTATAAAATATACATATGGAATTTTGCAATTGATTCTAAGTAAACAATACTTCATTCTCTAAAGTATTGTAGATATTGTCTACTTTGCAGGTGTTAATAAGATAACTTTTATGTACATAATACATATTTCCAATCAGAATTCCTCAATTTGCTTTATCATGTTCTATAATTCTGTCACAATTTTTTGTTTATCACATTCCTGTAAGTTGAATCCCTAGGATTAAATATGTTTATTTATAAATTGCTACAAAGAACTGAAGCATAAACACAAATTATTTCAACAATGATGTGTGATCAACTTTATGACAAGTTAGAAAATAAATGTGCAAATATTTCAGAACTACTCATTATATTTCCTTTTGAATATATATGTAGTTAACTACCAATACTTGCAACTGATTTTTTGTTATTGTTTGTTAACCTTTTAACATGGAGAGCATTCCATTTGTAATCATAATTTTTTAAATTTACGTACTAATTTTGTAATGAGAGTATTTTTTTTTCATTAACACAAATTATTTATAAATGGTGTCATCATTAATTTTATTACGTTATTCAATTTAAAAAAATTGGTTCCAGCATATTTGTCCATATTAAAAAAGAATTTTAAATGTTTTAATCTTTTGAGTTTGTTTTTATTGTCCTAAAACACCAAGTTTATTGTGTTTATTTTAAATAATGTTTATCTGAGTTTTTTTTTTTTACCATGGTTCACCAAGCATTTACATCACTTTTCAATCACAGACATCAGACACAAATGAATCTCTTTTAATTTAAAAAAAATCAACAAATAAAAAAAATACAACTACAATAAAATTTAAAATGTTTTATTTTATTTTGAAGGCATTAAATATCATAAAAAATAAAAAAAAACACAATGACAGATAAGAGAAAAAAAACTACATTCATAAAGGTGAAATATTTTAAAGGAGGCAGGACAAATAAAGAACAAAACAAAATATGTGGTAGATGATTAAAAAATACTTTCACTCCCAAGAAAAAAATACTGAGTCACGCCATAGAAAGTAATGTAGTTAATGTAGATGCTGAAATATTTACAGTATTTCAATTGCGGTAATTTGCAACGTTAAAGACAAAATTATCATTGGTATATTTTAAGAAAGAGAACATGCTGTCACACGTACATGATCTGGTATATTTTGGCTTCATGACAAAATTGAAATGAGTATGATGTCAATTGAGTATCATTTCTTTTCCTTTTCATTTAGAGTTAAGAACTATTACTATTAAATATAAAAAAAAAAAAACACACTTGTTTTGACGGAGCTGAGGTACCACAAATGAGAGAAGTAAAATTATTTCAGAAGGTACCATTGTGTGTCCTCAACAAGAAAAAATATAAGGTATAAAAAAAATGAATCATTTTTATAAATAAAAATTAAAAAAAGAACGACCCACTAAATTTTATAATTTAATGGCTACGGCCAAATTACATATTAGATGAAGGAAAAAAAGTTTTTATATGTTGGTAGTTATAGGTTTGAAACATCTATAAAAAGACACAAATACTATTCAGAAGAGATCATATCTTTAATCTCATGAATAAATAAAATTGTTTATAACCAACTTCTTCAAAACAAAAATTTAAAACATGGTTTAAAACACGTCAAATCACAAAAAATTCTTAGCAAAAACAATTTTATTGTGGAATGAGAAATAGTAAGAAAAACAATTACTTCCAAGAAAACATTTCAAACAGATTGAGCGATTGGTCCACAGCTGAAGAGACAACTCTTGACAAGGGAGAAAATCATAAAAAAAGGAAGGCAAGAACATAAACATAAGTTTGAAAGTGTTTTCAGTATTTAATTTACATAATTGTTTTATGCACAGTGTACATGAACAAAACAAGATTAGAAACCTATGGTAATAAAGTAAATACTGGTATGCCATCATGATACCTTTTTTTTGCACTGAGCAACAAGTAAAAGACACAAGGCACTAGGTGATACCATTCTCTAGGAACAAAGGAAAAGTTCATTAATTTTTAAAAAATCAAAACAACTTATTTTTATGCTCATGTATTTTTAAAAAAGAATATATTTTTGAGGTAATCAAATCACAATGGAAAAAAAAAAATTATAAATAAAGTGCACTACAAGTTAAAGCATTAAAGCTGGTGAACACCCAATAAATAAACAGCAGCATGAATGTAAGAAAGTCAAAACTCTTCATCCTGTTGTAGTATGGCTGGCTTATGAACATTACTTAGATAATTATGCCTGTATAGAGAAAGAGAGAAAAATTAAAATTATCTACAAAATAATTTGTTTGAAAGGTGGTTAAAACTTGTAAAATAAATTAGTTTTACATAATAAGTTCAACGGTATCAGAATCACAGAATGTTATCAATTACAGAAATAAATAAAGATTTCAAAGAACTAATAGATCAAAATCACGGAAATCTCACTCACTGAGCATCACAGACCTTTGCCATTTGATTGCAAATATCTATATCAACATTGCTACTTTAAAAAAAAATTAAAAAACCCGGCTTTTTAATGTATGCATGGCCAGCCATGAAGACATACAATGTGTGTGAGTAAAGCTGTAATATCAATTTGCATTTATTATGTCAAGTTTAATAAAGAAATATTTTTAAGGTTTTTTTTCACTTATTTTTACATGCAAGAAAAATTATGCAACCTTTTGAATTTGTTGAATTAGTTTAAAAGTGTAGGACATTATAAAAAAGTGAATAGCCATTTCAATTTTTAAAGATTACATTATAAACTGACTTTTAAAATTGGAAATTCATTGAACTATCATGATAAGGCTTATACCTAGGCAGCGTGAACTACAATTCTTTAAATTCAGAATTTTTAAAATTCAAGACTATATCATTTTAATTTTATGTTTAATTACTAAAAGAAAAGTTTAAAAATAATATTTAAGAAAGAAAGCTTAAAATTTAAAAGTTTACTTAATTACACTTTTCTATTAAAGCTACACAACATTTAAAAGCTTACATCTAGCAAGCTTGTTAAAATGCTTAGAAACAGCTGTAAAGTTCTGGAATTTAAAGTAAAGACCAAGTTGCAACTTTGTAAAGATATTTGGAATAAAAAATTTACAATGAATTTGTGCACAATTGCCCAAGTAAAAACACCTAATCAAAATTACAAGTCTATCTACTTGTATTGAATAAAACAATACACATCTATTATCACATATTTGTAATAACAAAAAACACATAAAATTTATAGTACAATTTATAAAAAAAAAAAAAAAACACCAATAAAATATGAATCAAAAGAAATATTTGATGACACAGAAACAGTTATATCAATAGTAAAAAATATGAGATAAGAAGTTATATAGTTAGTATGTTTGATAAATAAAAATCGATGTAAAATTGTTTTTTAGTTCAAAGAGTTAATTATCTTTTGTTTTATTGTATATTTTTAACAAGCAACAAACAAGGTCCATTTTAAATTATGAATCAGAAAAAAAAGATGGTTAATGATAATAAGATACTGACAATATGCAAACCAGTGAGGTGTAGATCAGATTTTACAACACAACTGGCCATTCATGCAAGTTAACCCTTTAACAGACAACTTTATCCACAAAATTTTATGACTTCACATATACAGTAATCAAACATTTACTATAGCAAAACACATGACACAGAATGCACACACCAACCTGAATTAATTTTATCTAGATTTATAAATTTTTTAAGGATATGATCTTTATGGTCTGGTAGGGCTTGATCAGCAATACCTTGAAAAGAGCCAGTTTTAAAAAATCGGCTATAAGTGACAGCTAGTCTCACTTACCTCAGATCCTGTTTAGTCTTATAAGTGTATTTGGGCTTTTTTTGTATTTCAAGCAATCAACATTCAAACTTGTTAGTTTTCAAGCAATCAACCTTTCAGTATTTTGCTTACAAGCCATCATCAGACCTACCATACATCTACTTATCATTACAGTTCTATTTGTTTAAAACACTAGTTATGAACTACCTTTAATTTCAAACCATTAAGAACGTATCTATAAACAATAGTATTTATATAAACTGCCAGTAATATTGGATATTAGCCTAAAATAAATTTAAGAAAATACACTGAATATAAAATGATGATATCATACAGATTATATCTCTAATGAGAATTGAAATTTACAAAAAAAAAAATAGATTCAATTTTTGTAAAAGGAAATAATGAACTTGCTGACAATAACTGTTTTTATTAGTTTACTCATTTGTGTATATTAATTTATGAAATTTATCAAGTATTAAAATTATTTCATTTAAAAAGAAATTCTATAAAATGCAAAAAATACAGCTTTTTATAAAGATGTTTTTTTACACAGTTTACTAAAAACAAACATTCAGGAAAAATGCAAGTTATTTTTTAAAAATAAAAAAAAATCAATCACAAGATAAAAGGGGGAAAATTAAAAATAAACATGTTGGTTACATCTAAGTGAATGAAATATTAATTATCACAAGAAATGGTAGGGTATTATGTACAGTTATTATTATTGCAGTTATAGAAATTAAATGGTATGGTTTCATTGTCTTAAATGAAACATTAAAGACAAGAGGTTTACATTTTAGCACAAAAGACAATATGAAACAGATTAGATTTTAATAACGGTGATGTTAGCTCAAGTATGCTAATTTATTCTTAATTACATGTTTTTGAAATTACCTTGAAGTTGTTTTTTTTAAATGTATCTGAACGTGTTTTTTTTTGCTTAGCTTTCAGTTTAGATCCAAACACCTGGCTAGAGTATAATTAAAAATTAATAATAAAAAAATCAACAAATATTATTTTTTAAAAACAGTTGGCCTAGTTTAGTCAAACTCTCTTTAATGTAATAAATTGTTAATAAGAATAAGTTGTTAAAATGAATTTCATATAATTTATTTATAGATTCAAATGCTTTGGTCTACAAATAGACATTATAAATATTCATTTTAATAAACCTAACTACCAATAACTAGAATAATATTTATGACACTTCGTTTTAAAAACAAAACCCAAATATTTTTATAAAGATTAACAATTTAGCTACCTATTAAGGAATTTTAAGTTCATATCAAATACTTTTTAGAATGGTTTAAAAATAATTATATACTTTGTTAAGTAAGCTGTCTCTTATTCCAAAATTATTAAAAACCACAAGTAACAAAATAAACATATATCTTTATCACAAAACAATCCACACTTATTCCATAATAAATTTAGTTAAATACATACAAATCACAATATTTTTTAACTAAAAAACATTTAATGAGTAAGACTACAAAGGCTATAAGAGTAGCCTGCTAAAATTCATGGCAGTTAGACTTTGTTTATATTTAAAAACAAGTTGATTCAGTAACATGAATACTATTGTTGAAGCATGGGCAACTGTACAAGACAGCCCTGAGGCAAGCAGCTCACATGCAGAACAGACTAAAAGCAGGACAGCCAATAGACTGAACAGGAGTTCACATAAAAGAATATTCATTCACTATTCACTTTGGCTAGTTAGTATAAGTAAAAATAACTAAACATAGCAAAGTGTAATGCATCAGTAAAATATTTAAACTAAATTCAAAAGTAGCATCAACAAATTGGTATTTTAAAAAATTGTGCAGTTTGATAGTAAAAGTAAGAAACAAATAAAGTATATTTATAGGAACTTATGCTGCAAGATACAAGGACTAAATCTCACAAAAAACCATTTGGTGTTTTATAAAGCATGATGGTCAATAAGGGGTGGGAAAAAGGTTTAAATATCCCCGTGTATCAACACCAATCCTCATCTGAATCTTCTTGAAGTGCAGTCTGGCTGTCGCTCCGCATTTCATATTTGTCTGGCTTGCGTCCCTTTTGTTTGAAACCGTTTGGTAAAATTCCTCCCCTTGATCTGCTCCCTCTTACACGGCTCCCCTCTTGTTGGCTGGCTGCCATAAATCTGTGGTCTTGTCTATCTCTCTCAGCAGCTTGCGGGTCAGGCGACCTGGATGACTGTCTAGGAGAAGGCTTAGGAAGGGACCGAGAATCTCTACCCCTTTTGTTAGAACCCCAGTTTGAATCATCACGGGGGTAACTACTAGTTCTGTGATCACCTGGGAGTGTGCTAGACCTTGAAGGGTCAGAACTTTTATTCAAATTGTTTCTTTCTGTAGGACTATATGGCTCAGGTCTGCCCAGCCTCCCTGGCGGAGGGGCGTGGCGTTGATGCTTAGGAAGGGGTGATGCAGCAGCAACGGAAGAAGTGGCTGAAACTGGGATGTTGAGTTTAGGAACACGTGTGTCTGATGCACTTGACCTGGGAAAGTTCGATGACGGTGCCATTGGTAGACGCCGGTGTGCTCTGTTTGACAGTGGCGGGCTGTCAGCTGTTATTGAGGGTGAAGGGGACCTGGAGCGTTGAACAAGACTGGTTGATCCACGTCTAGGTGTTTTCACACCTGCAAAAAAAAAAAAAGAAAGGTCATTGCATCCTTCACAGCCAGATTTTTTTGTGAAAATATTTTGTTATTACTAATACAATAGATCATATTATTAAACTTAAATAAACAAGAGAATAAATAAATTTAAATTAGGGTTAATAGTACCAAAAAAAAAAAATTACTATAGAAGCTCCAGCTTTAGCTACAAGTAGTTTTATTATTTTTTAAACTATTTTAAAATATTTTAATACATATGGATCTAGTAAGGAACTTGAATGAATATTTAAATAAACAAGTATAACTGTTTTTTTTTTTTAAATTTGATTAAAAGATGTAAATGGATTTTTAATAAAAATGAAATACAAACCATATCTCTTTTGTCTATCCTGGTCTGCAATAGTGTGAGCTTGCTCACAGATATTATCTACTGCAGAAGCAAAACCAACATCAAACCTACGAGGTGAGGGCGACCGTCTGGAGGGTATAGGGGACGCCCTGGGGGAGCTGAAGGGGCTCTGTGCCCCCATGGGTAACCCCTTAGACAGTGGTGATCTTGTGTCAGCCCTGTCAACCAGGCCTGTCAGTGCTGAAGCTTGTTCTGGTCTAAGTCCTCCAGAAAATTCAGAGTTTAGCTGCATAAAGAAAGATAAATATAGAAACAAAATTTGAGTCTGGGCCTGCACAATAGGGTTGAGTTTCGTTTAATGCAACCATTTAATTATATAGGCATTAATCGTAGAATCACTTTATAATTGCTAGTGTATCACTGTTTAAATTCAGAATTATTTGTAAGTATTTATAATGAAAATCACTTGTAAAATAATGAAGCAAAAAAAAAAAAGGTTAAACATCAAGGTGTTTTTTTAATTTGAAAAAAATCAAATTGTTTTATGTGTTATCTTCACCTGTATTGTTGTCTATTGTTAAATAAAAGATATTTAAATAATATGAAAGCAAATAATATATAAAACTAAAACAATGGATCAACTGAAAATATTTAGGCATCTTTTAGAAAGGATAAAAACTTGTGTAATTTAAAAATTACAGCTATAGACCTGGTAACATTCAAATGTTAAGCTATGAACAGATTCCATTTAGATAAAATCTATAAACTGGCTTTTTTTAAAAATACATCTATAAACTGTTACCACAACTGGTACATTCACATATGAAGTAACACAACCACGTTATTCACCTCTATGTAAAATCTGCACAATTCAAATTAAATTTAGCACACACAAAATTGCCCTAAAAAGTATTCCATAAGTTCTGTACACTTTATTTCAGCTTTACCCAAAAAAAAATGTAAAATTGTCCATATTAAATAATCTGCAAGGTAAAGAAAAAACAAGTTGGGAGGAAAAAAAGCAAGAATTTGAGTCAAGATTATAGGCAAAAAAAATTTAACTGGATGATTAATATAATGATACATAAATTAGTTTAGAAACTAAACAGATTCTGTAGGAATAGAAAACAATGCCATTTTCTGAAACAGTCTTAAAATATCTTAAGAATATCAGCAATGAGAAGTCTTAAGACAAAAGTTTAGCAAAAACTTTTGATCAAAAGTTTACTAACTAAAGATGTTACTAAACAATGATATAAAGTTGGATGTTTATCTGTGTATACAATAACAAATAAAAGAGTTTTGCTCCAAAACTCACAAAGAAATATCAGTCATAAAAAAAAAACACTTTGTTACTATTAAATAAAGAAAAATCTCTACAATGTGTTTTTTCAAACTTCAGGGGCACAAAAAAGAAAGATAGTTTGGGTGAAATTTGATTTGAAAAAATATACAGTTAAATTTATTTTGAGGATATAACCCTTTTCAACACATTTTTTTAGTTAATACATAATTAAATTCAGTAATGAAGAAAAAAGAACATTTTTATTTTAGAAAATATATTGTTGATTGATATTCACATGCTGTTGTAGCAATATTTTGTTGAAGCATGCTCTCCACAATAAATTCATTTGTCTATAAATATTTAACATACTGTTATAAAAATATGATAGTATTTTGTTTGTTTTAATTAATTAATCGAAATAGTTCAATAAAATAATCTTAAATACTTGGACAAGAAAACAAACAACAGTTGAAAATGAAGCTTGAAATATTTACATAGAAAGTAGATTTCTTATGTTTTTGTGATTTAAGAACATTCCTTTTAAAAGACAAACACAAATATTGTGCAAAAGTTGCATCTAACAACAACTGGCTTCAAAATGTATCACATTTGCATACATTAAAATAGAACCAATTAACGAGCTGAGACAGTAGATGAAGGACCAACAACAAACACGAGGGTGGGGTCAACCACTGCCACTATAAAACTCAACCAATCACCTCGTTCAGTTTGGACAACGATGCTGTGATTTCATTGGCTGCTTGAGCTATGAGTGAATGTTCACTGCCATTCACATTTTGTGTTGAGACACTTGGGATGTCTTTAAGCTCCATACTCTGAATGATATAAATTGAATGGCAATGGCTCTGAGTTTTTTAACTTTGTTACTAGTGTTTACTGTAGGCAGATTTCTTCCTCTGTTTGTTCAGTTTGAGAAAACACGCAACCACCAAGTGTTTCATAAGATTTTGGATTAGTGTTTTAAAAACTAGTCTACATGCCTAGTTCTTTTAAAAATGAAAATATTCAACTTTGATTTGTCAACTACCTGTTTTGATACTTCTGCAAGGAAGTATCATTCATTTAAGAAAATATTCAAACATTTTTCTAAAAAACGTTTTTATGGTATCAAAGCGTATCAAAGGGTGTGCATTGAACTGGAAAGTCAAACAATAGGGCTTTAATTAGGAGCAAAAGCAAGCAACCTATAGCTCTTTTTTTTTATAATGATCCATAGCTTTAAACACAAAAATCCTGCAATCTTTGAACACCCAATATTATTATTTGTAGTAGATAAATAAATCAGTAATGAATGTTAAAAATATAACAATTTTAAAAAGTAACTTTGATATTGCAATAGGGCCACATCATACTAGATTGTAAAAAGAAAAAAAAAATGTTAAAAGTTATGAAAAACCATCACCTTAGAGTTGGGAGTAGTTTCTCAAACAACATTTCTTTTTTAACTCTCTTAAAACAATTATAATTCATTAGGCAAACTTTTTAAAATATTTTTATTTCATATATAAACTTTAAGTTTTTAAAAATTCACTAGAAAAAAATGGTTGCGGAGTTTGGGTAGAAGAACAAAGAATAAAACAAAATAATAATCGTTTGAGAAACTTTTCCTTAAGCTGTGTTAAAAAAAAAGAACCTCGATCCCGGAAAGATCTGAAAAATGCTACCTTGTTACGAAAAGGTATAGGTGGACGAGAGCTGGGCAACTCATCCGGAGTAAATGACTTATTGATATATCCACCAAACCGGGGACTGTAATGTGCCTAGCATTCATAAATATCAATGAAATAAACATTTATTTTTAAACAAGCTTTTCAACTTGAATTAATTAAACTCTATAAAAAAAATAGTAATTCACAATGCTCCACCCTTTGTGAAATAAAGATTTAAAAAATACACTCAAACAAAAGAATAGTGCTGGTCAACATAGGTAAAAACAAATTTTAGACTGTTGTTTCAGGAAAAAAGAATTTTGTGAATTAAATGCATTTGAAAAGAATTTCCAAGATGCAAAAATTAGGAAAAAAGCTGAGTTGTAAAATTTATTTTTCTGAAACACATGCTGTGAAACTTGAACATACATAAAAGTTTTATTATGTCTCTTATTTATGATATATAAGATATATTTTGATTTTTAAAAACTGAATTGAAATGTCATGTTTAATGTGAAATTAAAATTAACTTTTTCTAAATTCTAATAATATAAAATTATCAAATACCAAATAAGTTAAAAAAAAAATGAATAATAAATGAATATTTGAATTGTACTATAATGAAATATCAATTGAAGTCTCAATAGTTAAAATCCTTAGTCAAAATTTGGTTGATTTTTTTATTTGGGCTAAATTTTTTACATTAGATTTAAGATTAGAAATATATATATGATTTCTTGTTATATTTTTAAAGTGTAAAGAGTAAATCAATCCATTTAAAAATATAGGTACTTTGGTTAGTATATGACTTTGTAAAAACACACTGAAATGAAATTGTATCTTATACTTTTAAGTCACAAAGAAGATTGACCGATGAGTGAAGGACAGATAGAAATCATGAAATTCTTTTTTTTCCAATATTAAATGCAAAACAATTTTTTTTTAAATCAGATCAATGATTTTTATGTTTTGAGAATTATTTGTCATTCTAGTAGATAGTCCATAATAGTTTTACTATATGAAATAATATACTGTTAGCAAACAATTTATGGAATTTTAAAAAGAAAAGATGAAATGATAATGTGAACGGTATGAAAAAAAAAATGATTTCAGTTATTTAAAAAATCTGATAAAATACTGCTTGGATGTAAAGCTAACAATTTATCCAATGCAGTAGGCCATATGTCATTAGCAAAATATAATTATATTTTAACTTAATTTTCACAATTTAATTTTTTGTAATACTATTTATAAAGGTCGGGTCATATGAAACTGAAATCATATGGTCATATCAGAAGCCTAGTGTTTAAGAGAATAAATAAATAAAAGTTAGGGCTTACAAGCAAGTAACTGACCTGCGCATTAGAGTTATCCCCTGGGTCGCCTCCCTTCCTTCTTTTGCTGCTATTCCTCCTGTGAAAACTGTAAGGACTAGGTTGGTTCCAGTCATCTCCCTTGTCAATACTTTAGACAGCAAAAGTGCCAGACAACATCCAAATACAATGCAATGAAATATGGTACAACATCAAGTTGTAGTACATCAGAGCATGTCATACAGTTGGTGACATCCAGTTGAAACAACATCCAGAATTTGAAGAAATGATTATGAAAAAAAGGAACCATGGGTAAGTAATACAGATATAAGAGACAAGGTTGTGGTTAATTTTTTTAAAAAATCTGACTATTTGAAATAACTACAATTGTACTCATATTTGTTTCAGTAAAAGTGCAATCTGTATAAAGAGCTCACATGAAGACGATGTCAGTTTATGCAGTATTTAACAAGTAGCTACATGCTATGAGATAGATTAATCATGCAGGATTAAAGAGCAGAATAGTTATTAGCATTTACAGCAAGAGCTTACTATGGAAAGTTGAGGGATTTTAAACTTTATTTTTCACTTTTCTCAAAATAAGTAAAACTGACATCTCTGCTTGGGATTGTATGAAATTACAAATCAAGCATTTGTTAAATGAAAATTAATTGTTCTTTAAATTAACTAATTTAGATTTTATACGCCAACACAACAACCATGATACTTGTAAAAAAGAGTTTCTTTACTAATGTCAATGTTGAAACAATACTAACACTGAATGGTTGTAATGACTTAGACATAACAGAAAATTATGTAATTTTAATCTTAATAAATAACTCTTAGCACAACTATTTAGTTTTATTTGTTTAACTTTGAATATGCTTAGTAACCATACTAACCACAGCAATAAACAATTTAACCAAACATAGATTAGCCTTAAACCACCTATGGTCAAACCCCCTATGGTCGAAGCACCCCTATGGTCAAAGCCCCGCTGTGATCAAAACCCCTATGGTCAAAACCCCTATGGTCAAAACCCCTATGGTCAAAGCCCCGCTGTGATCAAAACCCCTATGGTCAAAGCCCCTATGGTCAAAGCCCCGCTGTGATCAAAACCCCTATGGTCGAACCCCCTATGGTCAAAGCTCCGCTGTGGTCAAAGCCCCTATGGTCAAACCCCCTATGGTCAAAGCACCTGTGGTCAAAGCACCTAGGACCTTCACTCCAGTTAGAGAGTGTGTTGTTACACATTGTTTTTGTAATTTATAAATAAGTATATATATATATATATATATATATATATATATATATATATATATATATATATATATATATATATATATATATATATATATATATATATATATATATATATATATATATATATATATATATATATATATATATATATGGCACTAAGAGACAAATTTAAATTTAGAGTACTTAAAAAACATACAGACCTCTATAAAGAAAAATAACTTAATGTTTTATTAATCAATACTAATAGGCCGACAATAAATCTAAAACCTACTTTTGTCCTCCTCTTGTGCCACCACCTCCACCCATTCCACCACCCCCTCCTCCACTCTCTCCACCACTACCATAATTGTCATCAGAATGAAAAGAGTCTACAGACTGGCTTGACCTTGAGGATGATCTCATTCCACCCATAAGCCGCCTGAATAAAGATGGTCGCTGAAATCATAAAAATTTAAGCTTACGAAATTCAACACATTTTTAAAAATTTAAAAGCATTGAAAAAATAAACATAAAAAGTTAAAAATTCTTATCTAAAAATTCAATTTACTTTAAGCTTAAAGAGAATGTAAAATTATTCAAGTGCTTAGTTATAATAAAAAATGCGACTTTGACAAATTTGTTAGCATTGGCCAATATAAAATTACAAATAATAATAACATACATCATTAGCAATAAAGAATAATAAAATTGAAATATTTACAGAGAATATGATTTATGAAAGTTAAAATTTTAAATGTGGTTACATAGAAAAAAGCTAGATAAATATTAAAATTAATTTTTTTGGGCAGATCTTTAATTTTTAATCCATTCAATGTCTTTACATTTTTTTACAGAATGAACCCTGATTCTAAAATAAAATTTCAGATCTATTGGTTTAATATTTAGAATTTTATTTTAAAAAGTAAAGACACAGAAAGTCCTAATGATGTATTAATGATTTAGTAATGCATTATATTCTTATGCTTATTCTTGTGATAAGCTTATTATGTTACATTTACCACACAAGAATTTTTTAATGCTGAAGAAAGTAATTTTCAACATAATTTTTTTTTTAAATTGTTAAATGAAAACATTTTTAAAATAAAGAAAAGAATTTCAAGACATTTATAAAAATCATCAAAAAAATATAAATGAGACAAAATGTTTAAAAGATATAAAATATAAAAAAGAAAACTACAACCAAGCCATCTAAATGAATAATATTTCTCTTGACTTCTTTAAACAAAAATAATTGTGAAATTAAAAATAAAAGAATGGCAAGCTATTTAAACTTAAGGGGATATGCGCGGAAAAAAATCACAAAATTTCTTGTTTTTCGTCATGATGGGTTTCTTGCACTTTTGGATACTTTGTCCATTTTTGTATAAAGAAAATAATAACTTTAAAGAGAAAAAAATATTGTATGTGTTTGAATTACGATTTTTATGACCCTATTAATTAAAAAAGAATCAATTTTTCCCAATCTTACAAGCTCTCTATGAAAAGTTTTATATCCGTCATTATATTGTATTTGAGATCATTGGAAAGCTGGATTTCTCATGTATTTAATAAACTTAATTTCCTACATCTCGGAAACACCCAAAGCTTACAATCGACTTTGCAGTTTACACAGATATGGTACTTTCCTGACCTAGTTTTCGTTACTTTTGGCTGTTTTTCTCAGTTTGCATGTTTTTAACACTAAAAAGCCTACTACTTTTTATTTATTAAACAATGCCAACGATATTTTCAGTAATTGTTCTTAATGCAAAAATAGAACTTTTGTCACGAGGGAATTGTGATTGCTTTCATAGAAAAAAAGTATTTGGTAATTAATATGCAAATTTTGAAACTTTTGAATACTAAAAAGGGTACGATTTTTTAGACCTTGTAAAATTCTTACTAGTAATTATTTCAAAAAGTTGTTGTGACAAAAGTTTTAATATATACTGAAATATAAGCAGTTTAAATTTGATTGCTATAGGTGCACAAATAAAAAAGCCTTAGTATTTTTAAAAGTACCGAAAAATTCAAAATGGCGGAGGTTTTTTGGGTTTCCATGACAACCAAAATTGTTTTCGACCTTTTTTTTTGTTGTTTAATGCTTACTTTTATATGCCAAATATGATAAAAGTATTCAAAAGGCTTTAGATCTTAAACTGTAAAAAATAGAAAAAAACATAGCATATCCCCTTAAAAGTGTAGCATTCACTAATTCAACATGTGTCATGAATCAAATACACCATGCTATAGTACCTGTAATTAAAATAAAGAACTAAAAATTAAAGATATTATAACTTTTCAAAAATAAAATCTTATACAAGGGTACAAAAAAAGTTAATCTTGTTAAAAAAACAACCATGCTTGAAACAAAACAAAACATCTGGGTTTTCCCCCCAAGTCTTACACCAAAGGCACTCTGTAATAAAATGTAGGTGTAACATGCCGTGAGGAGAAGATAAAATTGTAAGTAACAACCAATATAGTGAAAGCTTTTTATGAAATCTAATTTATAACCATATGCTTTTAAAATTAAAACCATTTTAAATTTAGGAGAGGAAAAAAATGTAACAAAAATATTCCCAATACCAATAGCGTATAAAGAAAAGAAGTCATACAACTGACAAAAGATTATTTCTAAAATACTAATTTTCTTTTAAATTTACCTTTTCACGATGGGTCTGAATTAAACAAAAAAAAAACACAGACAAGTGTCTAATAATTACATGTAGAAGGTTTCATATGTAATACAAATTTTGCAATTCAATATGACTTTTGACCAAAAAAAAATTAAATATAAAACTCAAGCTACATGGTCCAACCATTAAAACTCTCAAATAGCCTACTGTTAATACTGTAAATCAACAATCCATAAATTTGTAGAAAACAGTTCATATAATTTCATGACATTCTCATGATAAAAAATTACAATTATTTTTTAGTTAACAACTAGCTGTTAAAAATGTAAAAAAAAGTATTTTTCTAAGAATATTTCAAGAAACATACAGTTGAAAATGAAGTTTACTGCAACTGATGTAAATTGGTAGCTATTTATCATTATGCTTAATCTTAAATAAAAAACATGGCACTCAGTTGACTTTGGAGTTGGTACTATGCTACAAATGGATATTAGACCAATTTAAAATATGTTGTGGGATTAAAGTTGACCAGATGCAACACATGCAGAAAAACTCACCATTTTAATGTTGTTGGAGGCATTCTGGCTCGCTTTGTATGCTTTCCAGTTCTCAAATATCAGCAAACCTGCATAGATTTTTCCTACAGACATTTTCCCCTCTTCCAGTTCTGTAAAAGAAAGTAAAAAAAAATATAAATATTTCAATCCCATGTATGCCTTAATAGAGTGTGAAGACAAAATTCCGAAATATAAAAAAAAAATACCCAAAGACCCATCAAATGCAATATAAGCTAGACAACTACGAAAACCTCTGCTTAGCATTTCAGAAAAAAATAAATAGACAATTTGTCAAATGTAGGCTAACTATGATGACCAGAGGTCAGCTTTATGTTTTGAACAAAAGAGAAACTTACCATCACTTGGTGGCATGAGAAGATTTATAATTTTTTTTCCTTGAACTGGCCAAAGTTTGCGAATCCCCTCTCGCAATTCTTCATCTTTTCTGTTCATTGTTTCAGCTATAAAATAAACATTCATTTTTAAAATTTCAAAGTAGATTAGCCCTTTGTGAAAATTTATCCTAAATATTTTAAAAATATATATCTATGGAAAGAAACGTAATACACAGTATCAATATAAATTAATCTGCAACAGATGTATAAATTTCAACTTTGTGTTGTCTTATAAGTCTGTATGTTTATGGGATATCCTTTAAATATAGAATGTTTGGTCAAAGTGAGTCACTATGTCAAGATGAGAGAGGGAGCAAAAATGTCTTGTAGAGCTGGGTTTGAAAGAGGTTGGTAGGAATCATTGGTAAGTTAGTAGTTCAAAGAGATGAAGGGGATATGTGGTAAGTCAGTTGAGTCCTCAAGACTATGTAGTAGGTATAAGAGTCATCATCCCTAGTAAGTTTTAGATTTCCAAATCAGATAAGATGGGCCAAAGGGTGGGTGCAGCAGATGTAATTTGTTTTTATCATGTTTCAATGATTTCCAAAAGATCCAGGGTTAGCACCCACAACTCCAGACTTGTATGAGTGCACAATTCTTACAAATTAAACAAAAATAAAGCAAAATTAATAATTGAATTACCTGGCCCCATTTTGATAATTAGACACTCTCTAATTAGAGCAAATAATGTTGTTGTAAAATGGACTGTTCCATCTTCTGCAACTGGCATATTCATTCGAATAAGTTTCTGAGGAAATAAAATTATTTTAAATATTTAAATAATAAATCCTGAAGCCTAAACAGTGATAGGAAATAAATGAACAAATTGCAATTAAATTGGCTCTTACCCTATAGGCCAGTTTGTAAGGACACTTTTTACCAAAGCCTACAGGAGGCTCCATGTTTCTTAACATTTCATACATATCTGTGTAATGGATTCTTCCCCTATTCAAAGTCAAAACAGTTTTGATTTTATTTTAATTAAAAATTAGCAAACCATGAATTCTTAAAAAACAAAAAACAAAGTGAGTTCTTATGTGTGTGTGTGTGTGTGGGGGGGGGGGGGGGGGAAGGGGAGGTGCAATTATGTGTGTGTGGTGGTTTAGAGGGGCAATTATGTACATGTATTTTTTTAAAAATTAAATATTCATACAACTGCTATATTCAACTACATACAACTGACTAAACAAATTTAAACTTTATCCACAACATCACATCAAATAAGTTGTAAAATTAAAAGATAATCTTGCAATAAATAAATTCCAATTTCTGCTTAATTTTAACAATTTAGACTTTTAAATAAAAATATTAATAAGCTAAAAATTCACATTTTATTCTACATAACAATATCAATGGAAATTTTTTATTATTTCGTACTATAAAATAAATTCAAATTTTATTCAATTAGCCTTATTAAACTGCTTACGTGGCTTTGGGGTCATACAATGACCAGACCCTAACATATTCATCCAAATGATGAGAGCCTAAAATGGATGAGTCTCTTGTCAAATAGTCAAAGTTGTCCATAATTACAGCAACAAAGAGGTTGAGCATCTGAAAGAGCATAATTATCCATTATCAATTAAGTTGCATATTAATGAACTCCTCAATTGTAAGTGATTCTATTTCATTATCAATGTGTTATTTCAATACAAATATTATTAATGCATTATTAACTAATTGAGCTATTCCATAATTTTTTTTTAACAATGTAACATAAAGTCACAAATTACGCTATTTAAAAAAAAAGGTTACTTCAATATTAATGATTCTTTAAAAAAAATAAATCAATGTAATTTAAAAATTAATTCACAGAGATTCCAAAACGAATACAATTTATTTAAAAGACAAGTAAATTTAAAATACAACTTACCAAAAATGAACACAAGAATATAAATGAAACAAAGTAAATATAGGCAATATTGGTGCCACATCCAGACAGGGCCTGATCTGGAGGGTCTGCAGGTCCTATAGATTCTGGGTCACATGGTTGATCAGCCAGGCAAGCCAGCATGACCAGTTGCCAAGATTCTCCTGTTGCAGCTCTGTTGAAAAAAATTCCAAAGGTTAAAGTGCAGTCTGCAAACACATGGCCTAGTCCCTCTTTTTTTAAATAAAAGCTTTTTATTAAAAATTTTAATGCATTTTTAAAAATGTATTTTTATAGCCCAGAATATATAGTAAATGGCAAAGATCATAAACCAAGCATTATTTTCTAGCCTAAGCCAGAAGTCAAAAACATACAACTGTTAGTGTTTGAAAGTATGAATGTTTTTCTTATTATTTAATACCAGGAAATTTTAGCAAGAAAAAAAGCAAAGAAAACATACTTATATATATTTTTAAAAGTAGCTTTTCTTCAATTCTTAGGGATGTAACTAATCTGAGCCTAAAGCATGGTATTATTTTCTTAAAATTATTTTGTAAATATTTTAATATATACAATGAATTGCACAACATATTTTTTAAAAACAGAAATTATCACTTAAGAATAATATTCTGCAAATTAAAATTAGTCAAAAAAAATACTTTTTATAGTTGATCTACAGACATGTTTTAGTTCAGTAAGAAATATATAAAGAAAGTGAGGCTTGGTAGAAGACGTCTAGTAAAAACACAACAAGAGAACAGAAGGAAACTCTATGAAAGCATATATGATTTCGTTTTTTAAGCTCCCTTTGAAAAAAAACAACAGCAATTTAAATGCTCACCTGAATAGTAATAACAGTGCAGAAAAAAATGAACGGAAATTGTTGTGCCGATTGATGGATTTGTTGGAGTCCAGCAAAATATTTCCAAACACCTGGGATAAATCAATCATTTTGGTTAGAGAATACTTTATTATTCTACAATTCTCTTATGCGCAGAAGATTGTTGTGAATTTAAAAAAGAAAATTACAGTTCGATGCAAGAATTGACTTACTTGCATTCCAATAATGGCATAGATAAAAAACAGCATGAGAATAAGAAGACATACATAAGGCAAGGCCTGGAAAAAAAAAGGAAACAAAAATATTTTAAAATGATTTTAAGAGACACAATTTTAGGATACTTATAGAGTAGTATCGCTACTCATAATAAAAAATGTTAGGTAATGAGTTTTGTATGATTTTAACTAAAAACATTGAACATTGGGATTTTCAAAAAAACAATTTAAAAAAAAACCGTTTAACTTTTATACATGAATAAATTTACACTATTTACTTGATTAAACAGTTGCTGCCTATTTAACAGTAGTTACTGTAAGTTAAAAGCTAAGACATGTAATACAAAATTATTGGCAAGAAATACAATAATGTAAATAGAGGTTTTCTGATGATATTGCTGTGAGAAGGAAAGCAAGGATCAGGGATAGGGTTAGGGCCAGAGTTCTGGTAATGATTCTAGCAAAAATATAGCTTCTTAATGTCTTGACAACATTTTGACAAGCACTGCCAAGACAGAAATTTGCATCATGTGCCAGGACAAAATACAGTGACAAAAATAACTTGCCTTGAATGACTGGAAGAATGTCCACAGCAGTAATCTGATTGTATACCCCTGACGAAGTAGTTTTACTAATCTAGCTGCCCTAAACAGTCGGAAAACTCCAAAACTGTACGGGCTTTTCTGTTATTGAATATAGGGTGTATTAAACATTAATAACACTAACAAATTGTATTTGAATATATAATAGATATTACATAACAAGCTAACAGCATTTCTGTGAGCAGATTGTAATTAATGAATTACACCAAATATATTAATTATTATTTTAAGTAAACTTTTGACATAAAATTTTAAAAATATTTAAAAAGTACATTTTAAATCAGAATATGACAAACTAATTACACAAATATTTTAAAATGAGCAAGTCAAGCATGCTATTTTATACAGATATACCTAGCTGAATTGAAAACTCTCTAAACCAAAATAAAAATGATAAAACAGGTAGTTTAATTCATATTAGATGAACAAAACTGGCACTTAATAGATATACTTACAATGAATTCAGTTATTAACACATCTATAATGCTACCAACAACAGTGGTAAAGTCAAACACATTCCATGGGTCGCAAAAGTAATTCTGTGTTTTAATAATATAAAAACATTAAAAACTAAACAAAACATGAGCTCAAGAATATAAATAAAATTAAGTAATTCTACATTTAAATAACATAAAAATTAATCAAAACATAATAAAAACTATTCTAAGAGTTATAACAGTTTAAAATATAGTCAAACAAAGACAATTTAAAAAAAAGTATATTAATAAAATCTTTTTGAAATGAATTAATCTAAATTTATAATTGAATTCTTTTGTGTCGACTAGAAACCAAATAATCATAATGTAATAAATGAAATTTATAAAAAAAAAAGAAATAGAACAAAACTGGACATGTTCAAAAGGAATTAAGATTAGTTATGTTCTTCAAGACATTAAAAATCAACATGCTTAGTTGTTGGGTGGAAATATTGAGAAAAACTATCATTATATTTCCCATATGTATTGTAGTCCCTATATTGAATAAAGACTAAAACATTTTCTTCTTTCTAAAACAGGGAGTTTTTATGTAAAACATTTCTCATTGAATGTTTTTTGTGATCATAAATTGAAGCTGTTTCTAATTTTTCATATTTTGACAACTGCCAAACCTTTAAAAGTAGTAAATTTACATAAAATTACAGGAAGAAAAAAGAAAATAATTTTTTTCTCTAACAATATAAGGGCTTCTACCTTTAAACTATATTTTGGAAAAAACAAACACATATAAAAAATAAATAAAAGAATACAAGTAGACAACATATACTGGTAGTTTCTAATGCACTGCATAGTAGTGTTAATCTGAGAGAAAAAAATTGTTATGAAAGGTAAAAAAAAATTTTTAACATAGTAATGAAAACTTATTTTTTTTAATTAGAAAAATTACTTGTTTTAAAAATGTGCTGTAACATTTTAAATTTTGGACTACCATTATCTAAATAAATATTGCAATTTTCAAACGGTTGTATTAACCTTTAATATTAGAAACAAAAACATTATGCAACCTATTCCTTAGACTCACAAAAAACAGGTGAAAGCAGATAATTCATCTTAAATAATTTTTTTAAAAGTGTGGCCAAATATTTTCAACTTCCATATCAGATTCACATACTACTTGCTCAACATCTACAAAAAATGTATAAAACGTGCTCTCCAAAGAAATATGGAGCAAAAATAATAGTGGCATGCATTGTATAAGGAGTAGCTTCCCTTCTCAAAATGTGTTCTTACCTTAGGCCCAAGGCCAATAATCTTGAGAATACACTCAAGACTAAAAAAAGCAGTGAACCCCTCATTTAGCCATTTAAGAACATTTTTATATAGTTCTGACTGACCGTCATACTGTTGAGGTATAGGACATAATACAAAAGTTATTAAAATTTTGATCATGATGATTATATAATGAAGTAGTTTAAGACAAAGTAACACAAAGGTATTATAAATTTAGTTTTTAATGATTTCATTTTAGCTAGATGGCTTTAAACTATTTTGAATTTATTTTATTAATTGATACCACCAAATAAAGGACAGAGGGCATGTTACAAAAATATAGCGAAATGTTTTAAAACTAATTTAAACAAAGCAAGTTGGTGTTTTGGTTGAGGTTATAACTTTTTTTACCTTTGAATTGGTCATACAATTTTCTAGTTTTCTTACCCCAAAATGGGTGGTCAATATTTGAGCAAAATAAGAATATCCTATATATAGTATTTAAATATTGTTAAAATATTTAGTAGTTTTCTTAATTGAATCACGTACATTATTTATTATGTACTACTTTACTATTAACTTAAGGAGTAAGTAGTTATTAATAAAACCTTTGATTGTTTGAGTTATTGGTGCTTTAACCTAACTATAAAAAAATAACAACAGCTAATTATTTAAAACTTTTATTTAAATAATAATGTATTAATGAACAGATTGAACAATCTGTGCACTGCACACATAACATGTGTAATTTTTCCATTTAACAGAGCACAATGTATGTTTATACTTAATTACAGTAATTTGTTTTCTTCAAATAAATACTATGTTCATAAATAAAATATTTGTGATGAAGGTGCCAAATTAATAATTGTAGGTAAGGACACCTCATAAATATATTCTCATTAGAGCATTATCAAACATATGACTAAATGCTTCTTTATAAAACATTGATATTGTTAGTTTCAAATCCATGTTTTGTAATAGTTTAATATCTTTATTATAGTGAATTTAATTAAAAAAAATAATAAAAGCTTATATCTATGATTTATTAATATTAAAAGATTATTTTTCTTACCTTCATCATCAAGACAATAGTATTTAGTGCAATAAGAGTCAATATAAAATATTCAAATTTTGAAGACATCACCAGCTGCCAAATTTTGTACTTGATGGAGTTTTTGTTGTTGGGGATGAAGCGGCCCTTGGGCTTGGCATTGATTGCAAATTCTATGCACTGTTTCTGTAGGAAGAAAAAGTTGATAGTTTGATTTTAAATGTTCAACTTTTTATCGATTGCAATAATTTGTGCACTTTTTCTGAAGAAGTAAGAAGTCTATAATTTTATTAAAAATTAATAATTTTCTATGCACTTGTTTTCTAGATGAAAAAGTTGATTATTTATAAAATAATTTTTACATTGACTGTGAATTCTATGCAGTTTCTGTACAGGTTAAAAGTATATAAATCCTTTATATAATAATTTTTAACGTTGATTGTAAAATTAAAGGTCTATGGTTGATGTTTTCACAAATCAAGCCAGAGTCCTAACCTAATAAAGTGATTAAGATTTACCCTCCCAATAACCCCAGGCATAATATGATGTAATACATTGATATCACATATTGCTGGCTGCAAAACAGTGACCAGAGTTCTTCTATTTTATATTTACTTCAGTTGGATTTAGTACTAGCTTATGCTGCAATTATGAAATTAAACAGTTTTTAAATAACTAAGTCAGTTTTAAGATTCCTAAGAGGATATTTTGGCCTAATAATCAAACTCAAACTGCCATAAAGTTTTGCGATGTCAGTTAAAATCCACAATTTAAAATTTTTAATGTTTGCAAAACAGAATAACTAATTTTTAAAAGTTTTCTTTAAAAAAAAAAATGGATTTTTATTTAGATATTGGTTAAAAAATGTAGATTATTACCAATTGGCTTTCAAAAGAGAAATACATTGTATAAAATATAAAAGGGAGTTAACCTGATTTTTATCTATCTCCTGATCCATCAGTTCATTTTCACCTTGCTCTTGGAAAGTAATGATGATCAGAGCAACGAAGATGTTGATAAAGAAGAAGGGGAAGACAATGAAAAAGACAATATAGAAAAGTGACATTTCCATTCTGTAAAGTGGCTTAGGTCCCATGTCTTCATAGGTTGTATCCATTGAATTCTTTAAAATACTGGAAATTTATTTTAATATAGAATTAATTATCTTTAAACACAAGATTTGATATTATCTTTAAAATACAGGATTGAACATTTAAAAAAAAAAAACATTTGCATAATGATTGGGGGTGGTCCATAAAAGAGTTTTTTTTTTCTTCTTTTTTTTTTTTTACCTCTCCTCCTTTTCCCAACTATCATAAAAAGTCAGATTCCCCCACACCTAAAAATCATGTTCATCTAGCTGCGGGCCAGCAGGTGACATTAGGTTAGCCTGTCGTCACTTCTGTGACATACTCTGCTGACAAGAGCTTTCCTGGCATTTCTGTCCGGGGCTAGTCTCTCCAATAGAGTAAAACAGGCTTTACTAGTGAGTTGAAGACTAAGGGGCTCCACCCTCATGGCTCTTCTGTTACTTTTGTTTTGTCCTGAGCCAGTCCACCTTGACTTGTTGATACTCAGGCTATCACTTTTATAATGTCTTCTTTTGGCATCTATTTAAGTTCTTTTCCAGCTTTCTACCTCATGCTGATGTTCCTTGATCTGATCTTGGTGGTGGTTCTGGTGGAAATAATGGTCTTTGGTCTGGTCGTTTCCAATTTTTACTGGCTTTCATTACCAGGATTCACAAATTCTCTAGATGGAGTTCCATTTTCCCAAGGTAGAAGTCTGTATTTCTCTCTGTTTCTGTACAGAGTTATTTTTTAATGAGATAAGGTTGCTGGCGTTATGTTCAACCCCCAACCTGGAGGACCAGGGTGCCAGCTTTCATCTGACCCCATACTTAGATCTCCCCAGCTTGGTTGAACCAGCCAGGAGTTAACACTCTAGCAGTCTACCAACCATTTCTTTCTTTATAAAGTTTCCTTCCTTCAAGGGGATATAACTAAACTTTTTTGATTTTTGATAAAAATTTAATTAAGCTGCTTTCTTTGCAAGGAAAATATCTTTAAATATACTGTTAACTGTTTGCTATTTAACATTGCAATAAAGTAGCAAATTTAATATTTGAAGAAACAATTTCATACTTCCCCCACATGGTATTGAAAAAGAATAACTATGTAGTAAATAATTATTGATTTAGAATCTTATAAAAAAAGAAATTAAAAAAAAAAACAGTTTCTCTATTTAAAAAGTGGCTGCAATGTTCATGATATAACTCATTAACATGCATCTCACAAGTATTACTCTATATTTCAATTATTGTTCTTTCACACAAAAGCATGAAATAAAAATTATATTATGATTGGAGGTTGAAACTACCTGGGCCATCCCTCTCCTGTCGTCACAGTGAATAAGGAGAGCATTGCCATCATTATGTTGTCAAAGTGAAAATCGTGACGCAGCCATTCTCTATCTTTTACAGTTGGCTCATTAGAGCTACCAGCAAACTCAAAATACTGGCCTCTATAAAGCAGATGAAAATATCTTAGAGACTAGGTGTCATAAAATTGATAAAATAATTGAAGTTGCAGATAGGCATAATATAAAACACATTTACAATTTTTTTTATAAGAATTATTTTTTTTAGAATTAAAAAATTTCTTACTTTAAATATGTAGGATAAAATCAGCAGTAAAAACCCCAAAATGAACTGTTTGAGCCCATCTATACTTACTGACACTCATCACGTGTGGACTTTGATTCATCAGTACAGTAGAAAAACCTGCCCTTAAACAGCTGAACAGCAATGACAGCAAAGATGAACTGGAAGAGCATGTACACTATAAAAATGCTGGAGACGTTCTTCAATGAGTTCACCACACAGTCAAACACAGCCTGAAATAAAAGGAAAAGAAATGTTATAAAATCATAAACAATGTAGAGGGTCATATGGATTGATGGTAGTGTGTAACAGGTGCACCATCAAAATGGCAATAGATAAAAAGACCCAGTCAGAATAGCCCTGACAAGACTAAATAAATTGATGTAAAAATAAGGCCAGACTACCATGAGTTATTTAAGGTTGTTGGCTAAACTAACTCTGAAGTGTATTAGTGAACTGGTCCTAATGACAGGGGTCATATTGGGGCCATTTTTGCCTAGGTGACTTATTGCCTCAAGAGTAAGTATATTGAAGAAGGCGCTTTTGTTGGGATTTCTAATGACTGGGACCCTTTTGTCTGGAGCTAAGATGATGGGAGCCTATTGTTTGCACATGTGGTTTTGTCAGGAATTGTAATAATGGGAGCACTTTTGTTGGGAGCCAAAATTATGGGAGCCTATTTATCTAATGCCTATATGATGGAAACCTATTTGTTGGAGGCCTTATTGATGGGAGCCATTTTATCATGATGGGAACCTATATCAGAGGGGGGGGGTCAATTTGTTGCTGTCCCTTTTACTGGGTCAATTTGATGAGACTTTTTGTCAAGGCCGTTTTGTCACAGGCACAAGCATAACAATGTTGTCTGAAATCTTAAATGTTTAGGTCATGTGTATATTATTATTATGTCCCACTTTGATGGGTAGTAATTGTAAACTGGGAAAGGAAAAAGGTCACTGTATACCTATTCTATGACTGCATGTTAAACTTAACTTTTAATACAAGAAAATAATCTTCTCAGCTGTATTTAGATGAATATTTCTATTCAAACAAGGCCAAGATAAAGCTTGAAATATATATTATTACAGACCTTCAGCTTAGGTACCCTTTTGATGGTTTTTAACGGTCTCAATACTCTCAACACTCGCAAGGATTTTATAGTATTCAGATTTTGACCAGCGCTGTCACTGAAATGTAATAAAAAAAAAGTGTTTTAATGTTATTGGGAGCAAAAATTTTAAATCCTTCAATATCAAGTATAGCTAGTGGTACTGAAATTATGAAAGAAATATAAACTATTTTTAAGTTTCATTCTGTCTAAGAAAGATAGTTTTGTTTTTTATATAAATAAAATGATTTCTTTACATCAGTGTTGGTTTTTCAATCAAGCACATTATAAACATTACATTTTCCTTACATTCAAAATGTTAAAGTAACTGGTAGGCCTAAAACATTAAAAACCATTGCCAGATTAAATACTCTAGCATTTAAATAACATCTTCTAGTCATTGATATTTTTGTTAGCTGTCAAAATAAGATACATCTTTTTGAACTATTTTTAATTGCCCTCCAATAACCAAATTCTTATTCATAAGCATAATGTGTGAAATTATTAAATTACCTCATAATATTAAGTTAATGATTCATAATAATTGACAGAATGAACTAAATATTAACCTAATTGCAATTATTAAAATGCATTATATTTATTTTTGTTGGCAAAGTTTCTTTACTTCATGTTGTTTTTGTTAGCCTGTGGTAATATGAACAATTAATAATCTTTGCAGCAATCTAGTATAGTATGTTTCATTTTAAATCACTGAGCTGAAGCAATGACTGTTAAAAAAACAAGCATAAAAAAAAGATTTCATCCCATTCTTCAAAATCTGGAAGAAAATAATGTCCCTGATTTCCATTTTATTATTGGAAGCTTAAAACAAAATATAAAAGAAAAGAAAAAAATGTCCTCTACAAAGTATAAATAATTTTCCAAAATTCTAAGACTATCCAGATCAATGTAAAAGCAAATTTATTAATTTAAGAAACCCTGTAATGCAAAACTAAACAGTTTTAAAGAACAAGATTTGCAATTTAAAATTTTAGGTTTTTGAAGAACTTTCATTTTTTTTTAAATCATAATTTTTTATTTCATAACTTACAACTGAAACTTTCTTCTTGTTCTACTTATTCATTCTAAATTGTAATGTTGAATGTGATTTCATCCAACACAATTAGGGATAACATGTCAACATTTATGAGCAGTATGGCCCATTGACTTTGCTTCAATAGCATTTGTCCTGCCAAGAAAAAATTGTAGCTGATGTTTGATTTTGGAGTTCTGCTAGAAAGGTTTCTGTTCCCAGCTAACAAGCGTCCTCTGCCTAAGGTCAGAGCTCAGTTTCAAAAGATCAAATTTTGAGAAACCCGTCTCTATCAGGTCCCTAAAACGTTCTCAAGATAAACAACTCTAGACTTAGCATCCTCCTCACGCATACACCTTCAGAGGAGGGAGGTGGGGGGGGGGGGGTGGAATGTGATTGAATGAAACTTTGAACATAATTTGACAAACAAAATATTTTTTTTAAAAATATTGTTTAAAGCAGAACATACTCTATATAACAGGCAAGAGACTGAAGAGAAAAAGAAATGTCAGAATAAAGTAGGAGATTTATTCTTGTATCCTATTGGAATTGTCAGCCCTTGAAAAATGAAACACAAGCATATAAATTATAAGATATTTTTAATTAAACACATTTTTATATTTTGAACCAATTGTATATCAGAAAAAAAAACATTTTTGAAATGAAACACAAACTAGAACATTTTTATCCCCTTTAGTACAAGGAATTAATGCTATTGATACTATATGCTCAAAAATATGAATTTTATGTAACTGAAGTTAAAGACCAATTAAACTAAAAAGAATTAGGCCTATATTTTTAAAAACCATTTAAAAATTAGAACTCTATGAAGAAATACTTTGAAAATCTAACTCTTCGAATTTTTAAAGCAATTTAAACAGATAACATTTTCTTATTATCTATTATTTCAAACAAAGAAATAAAAAAAATTAAAATTTGTTTAAAAAAAAACATGCTTAAACTAATGAAAATATTGTGCTTTATAAAAAAAAAATTAGATATCCCTTTGAAATGTCATTGCTGTAAAAAGATTGAATACACACAATCATGCACATAGGAAATATTTTTAACAATGTTTTTTTTTTTTAATTTTAGTTTATCCAATATTTTCAGCAAGTTGATAAATACTGATGAAGAAATGATGTTTCATGAACACTTAACCTTTGAAAAGCACAAACCGTCCACACAAATATTTTGAACTATAAAAAACAACCAGCAGCCTTTAAGTAAATAAAAGAATTTTAAACAAATTGTATTCCATGATATTTTAGGAAAAAACAAAAAGTCTTCGGAATTGCTTTTCAAGTTCAGAGAATAGATATCATGTGAAACATGGGGTACAAGGTATGATGCGGGCAACATCACTGCTAAACATAAATATTACTCAAGTCACAAATGCCATCCAGTGTTATTGTCCATTGTGGTGAAAAAAATGATTAAAAATCAAAAGATAGATAGGTGAAAAAATAAAATTCAAATAAAAATTAGTTCGAAAGAAGTAATGTTTTAAAAAAATTCAGAGCCAGGTTATTATATTGAACCAGTTTTTTTAATTTGTTTGCAGAAAGAAAAGTAAAACAAAGAATAAATAAATTAACATTCCGCCAAATAAAACAAAAATTAAAATTTTTCTCCTTCTTAATTCTATCATTAGGCGGGCTTTGCAGCAATTTTTAAAAATCTTCAGGCTGAAAAGAAGTAGATTATTAAAAAAGAAAAGTATTTCATCATTAATAAAAAGACAGACTGACATCCCCAGCATTGTTCTAAACTTATAACAAGCCAGAAAACAAAGTGTAACCAGGAACCAAACTACTTTAGCTGCCCACATGTCACCAAAAAAAAAAAAAAAATGCCCTCTTCATTTTATCTTACCTTTCATTGCTAAATGACAAAAAAGATAAATATAAATACTGATTTTTTTTCATTTCTACAGTAAGAAATTGTAAAATGCAGAGCAGACTTTTCCTTACTTTTTTAGCCTTAAATATTTGTGTTATGGTGAGTTCATATAAGCATAAAAGACTTTTACATTTAAAAAAAAAAATCACAAAAAAATTAATTAAAATCGAAAGTAGATTTTTTTAAAGTTGTAATAACTAATACTTATATGATACTATTGTCAAAATACACAAAACTGCATTAAAATTGATGTTAGATTTCATATCATTGCTCATTACTTTTATTATTTTTACTTTGCACCTATTGTAAAATAAATATTGAGAAATAGCATGAAACGTCAAGATCAGTGAAAATCTTGATTGTTGTTTTTTTTTTTTTGCACGATTACAATACTTCCTCTATATTTTGAATACAAGAAAGTAATAAAAAAAATTGAAATTTTTACAAATCTCTACATTTTACACTTCCTTATGTTGGAAAAACTTAGGGAACATGATAACTTGAATACAGTTTCATTTATCTTGACAAAATTAGAATTAGAATATCATTTAAGTTAAGTAAGTATAATTTCACATATAAGTATTACATAGTTTTGGCGAGTTTTCTTCCCATTTTGATTACTTAAAATTTCAGTGACCTCTATTATCATGCTTTCTAAAATAATATCTTATGCTGCAGATTCTGTCAAATTATTTATGATTTCCAGATATCGGATTTCTTAAAAAAAAACATTAGATTTTGATTTTTTCATATTATACTTTCTAAAGCAGCATATTCTAAGAGTTTTTTGCCTTTATTTTTTTTTCTGCAAGTGGCCTTATTATTATGTAAAATTACATGAGAAATTTTTTGAGAAATAACTTCCACTTTTTAAAAATAAAGCATACTTAACTGAAAAATAATCAAAAACCAAAATAAATAATATATATTTATATATATATATATATAATATAAATATTCAGTGGAGTTAAACTGACATAGAAAAAATATTTAAAAACAAATAATTTATAAAAAGAAATTGTTTCCATTTACAAATGTAAGCATTAAAAACCAGTTTTAGAAACGATGAAAAAACATATAACATACAAAAAGGAGTAAAATAGGTTACTAGGATTAGGTTGAAATTAGAAAAAAACTTACTTGAATACAAAAGCTACAAGGGCACAGATAACAACAGTGGCATCCAGAATGTTCCAAAGATCTCGCATATATGAGCCAGGGTGAAGGAATATACCTAAATCTACTACCTATTAGAGATATATAAGCTTCATTCAGATAACATCAACATATAGGCTATATATATATATATATATATATATATATATATATGTATGTGTGTGTGTGTGTGTATATATATGTGAGTATATCTGTGTATATGTATGTGTGTATAAATATATATATATATATATATATAATGGGTAAAACAAGTGAAATCCCAACCCCTTTGCAGATGCAACATTTAAAAGTGTATATAAGTTGAACTGACTGTTTTCATAACTAGAAATGTCGTAATGAACTTTATTCAAAATGAGCTGAAGAAAATAAAGCTATATTTAAAAAAATTGAAGACTACAAAAATAACACAGTAGCAATAAATAAATAGTAGCAAATGAAATTTAATTATCTTGCCTTCAAGAGTAACTCTATGGTAAATACACCAGTGAAGATGTAATCGAAGTAGTTGAGAATGTTGTTTCTAAAGGAGTTATCTTTGACAGGATCTTCTGCAGCCAGAGCTATAGAGCTGGCACATATGACAATCATGATGAACAGGTCAAAGTACCGCAGGTTGACCACAAAGTGGCAAAAACGTCGAACTCTGGGAGGAAAAAATTATTTAAACAAAGATGCAAAATTTTATTGGATGTTTTTTTTTTATTTTTGTTGGACAGGTTTTTACTTTTGTTTACTCATACTCAGAAATCTCTGTTAAGTTTTTAAAGAGCTTGCTAAAATGTTGAATTAAAGTTAGATAAACTCTTTAAAAATTGTTTATCAAAATGATATTTTTGAAAAAAAGGAAAAAAAAAATATTTCCTTATTTACCCACATCAACATATTTACAAAGTTTATAGTAAGATAATAGTCATCTTCACTTTTAGGTAATTAAGTTAGATGTTACATCTAAACAAAGTATTAATAAATACTTTTTCCAAAAGAAAAAGTTTTAAATTTTGAGTTTGGTTAATTGCAAATCTTGCAGTGGGCAAAATGCTATAATATGGTTAAGTCAAATGTAATTGTCATTAAATAAGTGATCACAAATTCAAAATACTGCAATATAGTTAAGTCAAAGGTACTCAAGTCAATAAAGAAGTAATTACAGATTCCAATTACTCACGGATTGGTCGGACCAAATATAAACATGGAGCTGTAAGGTAACATGGGTTTAGGCCCTTGGAATTCTGCGTTTTCATTCTGGCTGTCGGAGGTTGGCTCTACATCAACAGCATCACTGCCTGTAGTACCAGCTAAGAAATTAAAAAAAGGGTCATAAGTCACCCAAGTCTTACAAGACATCAACCACTTTAAGAATAACAGGAGACAGAAATGGCTAAAGTCATGGGTAGGCAGGCCTATATGATAGTGAATGGCAAGGTTGGATGTTAGAGCATATGAGTGTTAACCCAGATGTCATGAGATTGAATTACTGATGGGTTGCCAGACTTGCTTTAGGTAAAGGCGACTGGGCATAGTGCTGACCACACTATCCCTTCATATGCTGAGGTCACTGAATCAGCTGAACTCTACTTTATCTTTCCTATGGACCATCAGGTTTGAATGGGTACTTTACTATAAGTGTATGATACTCTTAGTTTTTGTAGACAGGTTAAATTCATGCATAAGTTATTAAATCTGCTGAATGATCAGTTTCTAGTAATTAAAGTGCAGCAATTTGAAAATTTGCCTTGAGTCAGCTGTAATGGGATAATTACTAGGATTAAAATATTTTTAAAATAGGTATGACATCCGTGACAATTAAAAACTAATTTTACAGGGAAGATGGCTCATCTTCTAAAACTATATGAAACTAAATTAAAAATTAAGAATAATATTAGTAAGGCTATGATGATACTAGCTGAATAGTTATTTATTATAAGGAATATGAAAAAGACTAATAGAATTAAAAATTGTTTTTTAGAAATTATAATTCTATGAAAATATAGGAGAGCAGCTAATTTATTTTTGAATTATTTTACCTACTAAGGAAAGGAAAATCAACATAGTACAAAAAAAAAGTGTACTCTAAATTTAAAAATTAAGCAAACATTTTTTTTTGTTTCTTTAAAACTACTCTAACTTTCAAGCTATAAAAAGTGCTGATAGAAAAAAAGATTTTAAGATGTATGAACCATTTTTAAAGTCTTGTAAAAAAACAATAAATTAGTAAGGATTCTCCATATAAATCATGGATAACTATGCTAACTATGCATAAATATAACTTTTCACCTTCTTAAATTCATTACCAAAATTAAGCATTGGAAAAATTAAGTGTAAAAAAATCTTATTCAAATTTTTAAAAACTGTATCAGCTTTAGGTGAAGAACAATTAGAGTAAATTTCATAAACAAAAGCATGAGACTAGCCCATGTGAGAATATTTACTATATATTCATACTTAAATTTTTTTTAGATTAGTTAATTTGAATATATAGATCTATATAAATATGATATATATTTGTCCAATTTAACAATATACATTAAGATACAGTTTTTAATCTATACAATGCTTATTGAAATTGCATAAGCCATCTTTGAGTTATTTCAATAGTAAAATGGTAAAAAAATTCCAAGATGGCTGCCATCACCATGGCAATGGCAGGAAATTTTCAGGCGTTTTAAATTTTTACTTTTACATCTGAGTTATAAATATAATTATCATTAAGTTTATGAATAAACATTTTGGCTAATTGGGTATTCATCACCTGCCCATGCCCTTAAAGAATAAAGAAATATTCCCGTGCTTATAAGTAAATTCCAACCACCAAAAAAAGTTTTCTTTAGCAACCAAAAGCAAGAAAATAATGTGTTAAATCCTACTTGATACTTTGCTACTTTTACTTTGTACACCGCTAAATATTACAAAAATTGGCTTCAAAGTTGGAGTGGATTAAAATATACTGTCTATAAATGCTGCCAAACACCAAATAAAAGTTTTCTCATCTATTCATAAAAGGAAACAAATAATTGTGTTATCCAACTTTACTTTTTTCACCACTGAACATATTGATAACTTTATGAAACCTGGCTTTAAAGTTGGACTTGACTGAAATACAAAGCAAAACAGGATCAGCAAATAAAAAAGAATAAATTACAATTCATTCATGGTTGTTTTTTCAAATAATAGTTGAGATGAATAGATCATTTTTAAAAACAGGATACAAAGATTCTAAAGGATGGATTATTTTATTTATGATCATCTGAAATGGCTGAAGCAAAATATAAAAAAAAATTGAATTATGTAGTAAGTGAAAGAGAACTTGTACTATTTGAAAATGTCACTAATTAACAGTCCTTTTATAAAATCAAACTGAAAAGGTACATGAAATTTAAAAATGTAAAAAAATATTTAACAATAGACAAATTTAAGATAAATTTAATTTGTAATTCTAAAAAGAGTTGCATTCATTAGTTCCTTAATAACAACTTATTTTTATGATCGGCTAACACTTTAAAAAAATCATTACTTTATTAATAATGAAGTTTTTAAATATCATTTTATTATTATCTTTTTACACCCCCTCTCCCAACAAAATAAAATAATATTTTAAAAATTTAACAAACTGCACTCTCAAAAATATCATTTTTAATGTTACAAACTCTCCATTAGCAAAAATAAACAAAAAAGCAATTTTGTAATTTAAGAGAATACAATCTGTTGCATGGGAGCAATACAAAGTAATACAATATAAAATACCACGTCAAAAGGAATTTTTTTTTCATTTACCTCCTTGATCCTCAGGTTTACCATTCTGATTTTCTGAAAATACGTTAATACTGAATTATATTTAATCTTAATGATAAATTTCTTTATGCTGCTTTTGCATATGTTGATGCATTATTATAAATCATTCCATAAAACATTTTCAGAAAAAAATATTTTGTAGTACTGACACACATAAAAAATTTGTGTAAATTTTAAAATAAAGGAAATATTTAAAATAAAATAATTTTAAAGAATATTTTATTGTTGTATTTAAAATCTTTCTACTGGCAATAAAATGATTACTATAACAGAAGTTTTTTTTTATGTGATAAACAAATCACTCAACATATTAAACATTAGTTTGATAAACTTGAAAACAAAAACAACCAATATTTGAAATACAAAATTTAATTTCTAACCTATATCAGATGTGTCTTCTTCAATATTATTGGCCAAGGGCAGTGTAAAGGATGAAGTCTTGGTAACAGTATCAATGTTGCCCAAGGTTATCTTTTTATCTCGGTTGTCCTTCAAGTTGTTCTGGCTCAGATTGATATCTGCTCTGCTGCTTGCACTGAAATTGAAGCTGTTGGTTAGACAAATGCCAGCTACAGGCACACAAAGGCTGCTAGCTACTATTATTTTTAGAATGTTTTACAGATACACAAAGATAAAAGCTACCAAATAAATGCAGTAAAGGGACGGTATAAATTCTTTAAAACTAGAGGTTGGAAGTTAGGTTAAACAAAGCATTTTATGATTGTACAACTGGCATAAAAACATTAACAGTAAGATTTAACACAAATAATAACATCTGCATGTAACATATGTAGATTGTGTGAAATTTTATATAGTGTGTATTTTTGTTGTGCAATATTAATATACGTAATCAGTCCTCAAAAATATTTGTTCCACTAATTTATATTTAGGCCTACATATTACGCAAAAATATCATACATTTAAATTTTTAAAACTTAAAATATATGCAATAATATATATATATATATATATATATATATATATATATTTAAAGTATGCTTTAATTTACATCAACTACAAATTTATGTAAATAAAAGAAATGTTAAAAAAAATGGATTACAGGCTAACTACATAAGTGATTGAAATACGTCTTATGACAGGATGCTAAACGACAACCACACGAACTCACGAGTTAAAATTTGCAGTTGTGTTCTCATCATTGTTCTGTGGAGATGGTGGGCAGATGTTGACCAAAGGTGGTCTCTCTTGGGCAGCAAATTGCTCTGCCATTTCTTTCTCCATTTCCTCTCGCCGCTGCAGAAGAGGCGAGAGATTACAGTTAAGAGATTGAAGGAAGGAGATTAAAGTATATTGTAAAACATTCAGTTCTAATGAAAAAAAAATAGTGGTATTAAAACAGGGGTCTCCAAACTTTTCAGTCCGAGGGCCGCATTAACTATCAAATTTCAGTTCGGGGGCCAGTTTCTTCCTGGCATGTCTTTAATTTTTCTGGTCAAAGTTCCTCAGCCATCACCAACAAACACTTTTTTCCGTGGACAAAAATATCTACGCGGGCCGGATGAGAGGACCTCGCGGGCCGCATCTGGCCCACGGGCCATATAGTTTGGAGACCCCTGTATTAAAATTTAGTTGAATAATTCATTTTTCAAATTTTCCAATTTACTAACCAGAACTTCAATTTTAAAAATGTATTTGAGAAACTGGCTACATAAATGATCTTATTTTCCTCATAGTGACTTAAATTTAAAAAATAATGGACAGTTTACCAGTAGGCTAGTGAAAAATGAAATAAAAATTTCACACCAGAAAAGAATAAAATGCCTTCATAAAACACAAACTATGAAATAAAGAAAGTTTAAAAACTAGTCCATGTTAAAATATGGTTCACTTACAATAGCTTTTTCTTCTTCCTGTTCTTCTTCAGCAGCCGTAAGCTCCTGGGCATTTGCCAGATTGTCTACTGCGATGGCCAAGAACACATTCAGCAGAGTGTCTTTTTATTGTTAAGAAAAACTCAAAAAAGTATTCAAGTTTTATCAAGTAGTGTTTACTTTATTAAACTGCCTTTGCTTACCAGATACAAGACGTGAATTAGTTGATATTTTTTAAATTTTACTATAGTTACAACAGTAGGAACAGAATTTTTTTTTAATTAACATTGACCATCATTAAAAAAAAGTAAAATATTTGAAACAATTCTAGCTTTGGGTATCATCTTCCATATAAAAAGACTGAGAATAAAGAAAAGTTTTAGAAATAATACCATTGCCCAATTAAATTTGCAGAAATTCACAGACTTAAAACAATATTTTGTCTTTAACTAGAGGAGCAGGGGGGGGGGGGAGTGTCAGCTACAAGGGTAAATATCATTACTCCTGGAACTGAGCATCATACAAAACATTTAGTTAGAACTTATATAATGTTTACTTTTATATTTTTTAAAGTAACCACATGTAAATAGACATGCATGCAAAAAATGTGATTGATTACATGTTCAATATTTTTCTATTAATTAAAAAAAATGTAGGCTATAATTATTTTGGACTGACTATCAACTTACAATAAAAATTAACAAAAAAATAAAAATATAGAAATATAGAAATATAAGGAGTTTTGTGTCTAGTCACTCCCAACATTCTTGTAAAAAGTATTTGGAATTCCTAGATAAATATTTTGAACAATTTATTATTAAATTTTGTTTAATGATATCTTAACTGTAAAAACTAGAACCTAATGTATGTCTACTCTCAATCCAAATGACCAAATGATCAAAAGAAAGTAGATCTAATTTCCAGGATACAGTTACCAAACAGCACAAGGACTACAAAGTATGCTGAAAAATACATCCCTCCTCCGTCTATCCCTCCATGGGATTTTACACCATCATACATTACATTATTCCAATCAGTTCCTGTCAAAATCTAAAACAATTTGTACAATAAAAATAAATTAAAAAATAATGTTTTGTATAAATAAAGAAATTATGGTATTTAATCTAATCAAGAGAAAATCAAGGCATAGAAAAAAAATTTTGTTTTAAAAATGCTTTTATTAAAAAGAATTTGCAAAATTATGTAACTACTTATGGTAATCAATTATGCTGAGCTATTTTTGTACCTGGAACACTGTGAGCAAAGCAATAGGGAATGTATCAAAGTGGGCAGATGGTCGACCATCATCAAAGTTCATTCTAAAGTACAAATAAACATTGCAATTATAGTGTTTATCCAACAAAAACAAATCTACTTAAAAATTTTTTTTTTCAAAGCAATTTTTAAAAATTTGAAATATTTTTATATTTTTTAAAAATTATTAACTAGTGAAGTAACAATCAGTGTTTCTTCCAGACTTTTAGACTTCTTTCTCCGTATCTTTGTATCTAAGACATCACAATAACTTACTCTCCTCCAAAGATCTGCATGCCCAAAAGAGCAAATATTATAATGAAGAGGAAGAGTAGAAATAAGAGACTGATAATTGATCTCATACTGCTCAAAAGAGATATCACCAGGTTTCTCAATGAAGACCAGTATCTGTGAAATAATTCAATGAAATTTACAGTAACATTTTACAAAAAACTTTCTAAAAATATGCTTATTGAAAAAAATGATCAAATAAATATTAAAATTTTTGATTTTTATGTTCTAAATTTAACAATTATAATATTTTAAAACAATAAAAATATCTCTTTCACAATCATACATTTAAGTTATGAAATAGCAATAAATGTAGAGGGAATATAAGAAAATCTGTAGTTTGTTTTTTTAAAATGCCTCAATTCTTTTAAATTTGCAATTTTTATTAGAGTGTTGAAATAAAAACTGTTTTTGCAGAGATAAAAGAGATCTGAAATCATCTTTTTATATATATAAAAAAATAAACATAAAATAATAGAAACATTACCTAGTCACTTTAAATATCCTGAGCAAACGGAGGGCCCTGAGCACACTTATACCAAATGAAGATCCTTTTTTAAATTCAGACCATATGACTTCTATTATACTGCCTATTATAACCTGAAAAAATATCAACAATAAATAAAATGATATATTTACAAATTTACTAACACTGTCTTGTTCATAAGTTGAACCACTAGTATTAGAACTGAATGAACTGTTCATGAGCAGATGAAATTAATGTTATGCCAATGTGAGCATTAGTGCACCAATGAGCCTTGTATAGGCAGGATTTAGTTATGGGGAGGGGTTAAAAACTCGTTTACATTCCTATAGTCTATGAGGACTGTAGGACTTATTAATCAGCATCTGATCAATTACATCATTTCCAATTTTGAACTGATAAGCAATAGTTATAGTTTATCCCCCCCCCCCAACACAGTCCTAGATGTAACTGCATTATTGTATTGCCCAAAATGCAAACAGATAACCAAACAGAACAAATAACACTGCACCACTGCGCTTTTCATTTCTCATGATAGTGTGCAGTTTTATAGATAATAAATTGTAGACAAGAATTATTCAATAAAATTTTGATAATATATTTTAAACTTCCTTAACTTACCAAACAATCAAATCTATTGAAAGACGATTGAAAATATATTTGTACTCCTAAAGCATACATTTTTATTAACATCTCAAATATGAACAGTCCCAGGAAAGCAAATTCTGAATAATCTGTGTTTTAAAAATGTACATACATTAGAACAGTTTTAAAATAATAACCAAAGAGCATTTCTTCTTCTTCATTCTTAATTTTTAGTGTTGTAGAAGATTCCCTCCAACACATTAAGTATAACATGACAACTTGTTAAGCGAACTGAGAAAACAGCCAAAAGTAACGAAAAGTAGGTCACAAAAATAACATATCTGTGTAAACTGCAAAGCCGATTGTAAGCTTTGGAAATTAAGATTATCAAATATATGAGAAATACAGCTTTCTAAAGATGTCAAATACAATATGATGACAGATATAAAACTTTTCATAGAGAGCTTGTAAGATTGGGAAAAATTGATTATTTTTTAATAAATAGGGTCACAAAAATGGTATTTTAAACACATACACATTTTTTTTCTAATTAAAGTTATTATTTCTATTAACCCTTTATTTACGGAATTATGTTCTGAATGAGATTTTTACTTAAACAATGTGTTACTATATTGCTTTTGGCACATTCAAAGCATATGTCGAAGGAAATTTCGTTTCATAAATTTTTAATGGCCCAAACAGATATTGGTACTTATAAGTACCGTCAGTAATCTAGGACATTTTTTTTCAAAAAATTTTTTTTTACAAAACAGGAACTAACGATACAATTTATTAACTAATAACATGGCAATCATTATAACAATCACTTTTTGTAATTTTCACACATAATTACAGCACAAAAGTATATTTTGAGTACGATTTTTACTGGATTTTCTATCAGAACACATCTTAGACCTCAAACACAGCAAAAGTAGTCGACATGTCATGCTCCCTCAATCTTGTCTGTGGTCTTTCTGGTGTAGCAACGGTTGCCGGAATGAATATGCTTTTGCTGGAAGCTTCCAATAACTAGTACAATGAGCCACATAAACAAACAAAAGCCTAATCATTCAGCACACAACTACTAGTAATACTAGTATAATTGTAGCCTACTAGAATGTTATGACACGTCTACACTACAGTGCAAAGTTCATAAATAGAAGTGAGCTCAATGTGTTTTGGAAGAAGTAGCGGATTACTCTTTTCTGTTTACTGATTAAAATTTACCTTATAGATCTATACTATATGCAAAAGTATGGAATATTACTAGTCTACAGGTATACATTATGTAAATGCTAGTTATTGTACGCAAGACAGTTTATTGCAGTAAATATAACTAACAAATTAAATCTAACTACTAGAACTTGGCTTTGGTATACAAATGAAGTATACTAAACCTTGTAAACAAGCCTGCAACTGATACCTTTATTCTTGTTATTTTTTTTACTACTAGAAATTAACATGTAATTACAATATTTCTTAGGTAAACCATATGCAAACCTTCTTATAAATGTGTAAATATCATTTTTTGAGTACATTTCGATAATTAATTATCAAGACAATATTTATGTAACTCCACCTAACAAATCTGCCATTTTCTAAAAATCCTAAAAAAAAATGACCGTGTGCCCTGACGGTACTTATAAGTCCACTTGTAAACATCGATCTAATACAAAGACAATTTGATTAAAATTGTATAACTAGAAGTTAAATGCGTTTGCCTGACTATTGAAGGTGCCAATAAAAAAATTTTGGGGTTGAAAACTTGAAAAATAAGGTAAAACAAAGGGAAATCAGGAACGTATGTGAGAACTGTACAGAAAAATTGTGAACTACCGATATAGCAAGACATTGAAAAAGCGCCACACCATTAATTTAAAAAAAAACATTGATACCTCCGACTACCGGCGACTCAGGGGAGATAATACTATTAAATACATCAATAATTTTTAAATTTCGTTTTAAATTAAAAATAATACAGGCACTTAATTGAAGTGGTACTTATAAGTACCGTCAGTAGATAAAGGGTTAAAGTTATTATTTTCTTAATACAAAAATGGACAAAGTATCCAAAAGTTGAAGAAACCCATCATGACGAAAAACCAGAAATTTGGTGATTTTTTTGCTGCACGTATCCCCTAAAAAATTAACACATTTTCAAAATTGTATCTGATAAAAGGAGGCCTGGTATATAAACTAAAATAAAAATGATTTAAACAGTTCAGGTTCTAAATAGCATTGCCAAAACCCTGATAAAAAAACTCACATAAAAACTGTGTATGCCACTCTGGCTGATTATAATGTTCTGATGCCACTGATACAGTGTTGAGAAATACCAGAACGATGACTATCCAATAAAAACTTTGACTCTTGACTAGACGACGTATGGAGTATCTAAAACTTTTCTCAGCTCTCCAGAATGAAGCATACTTCCCTGTTTTTCTTTTCTTCAAGATTTTTGTAAAGGAATTGCCTGAAATTTTTTTTTTTTATAAGTTTGACGGTGATAAAATTAAATCAAGTGTTGCACGAAACATAATTTCATTTATCCAAAATAAGAAATTTTAACAGTGTCACACTCAGCCACAACATCTTAGCAGGAGATTCACTACCCTGTTGTGACAAGTCCAACACTGCCACTCATCCAAACCACTTCAGCAGATGATTCACTACACTGTTGGATGAGTAAATACAACAAACCTGGTGCCATAGCGGCCAACAATTCATCTTCATTTTGATCATTCTCATTCTCTATGTCGTTCCCTTTTAGCTGTATCATTTTTCTAGCTGCTGCCAGCCTACGAGCTGCAAAAGAGGGTATAACCCATTCAGGAAATCAACATAGGGGAAATATATAATAGATGGAATAAACATTATGGGAACTCATATAGAGGGAATTAATATATTAATGTTATAGTTAATATATGTAAATTAACAATAGAAAGAATTAATGTAAGGGAAAGAAGTAACACAAGGGGAACTTAAAAATGTAGAAATAACCAAGGAGAAAATACAGTTATAAAAGTTCGCATAGTGGAACTGAACATCAGTTAAATTCACAGGAGAAATTATATTAGGGCAAATTTACAATAGGGAAATTATGATTACAACAAATTTACAATGGGGAAATTCACATGGAAATTAACATTAGAGAATAAGCACTTGGGAAATCAACATTAGGGAAATAAACCTAATAAATGAAACAGAAGGTAAATTTTTTACAATAGTAATTACTACTGGAAAATATCAATGCCAGAAACAAAAATGGAATTTTAAAAACTTAAAATTAATTAATGCAATAAAAATAATTCTAGTATAAAAAAATTAAGACACTGAAATTATACATTTGTGAAACATGTTATGATTTGTTTTCATAAATAAATTATATTATCAAACAAAAAAAGAAGAGATAAAAAAAGAAGAACTGATACAAAATTTACAAAAAACCTGAAGCCTATTGACAGTGTTACTAAAGTTTTAACAAACCTTCAATAATTTTTAATTTTTCCTCATCTGTTGTTCTTTCTTCACTTAGAATCAGTTCCTCTACACATTGAAAGAGAAAACAATGGTGTTTGGCAGTTAATATTTTTCATGTAGCACTAAATTTTAAAATATAAATTATGTATAACTCTGTGCTCATATGAATAATTATATTTAAAAAATCAACATATAAATCTTCATATATTTATATACCATAATATAGACTAGTTTTTAAAATATTTTTTCTTTATCAATTAGCTTTAAAATATGTAGCATATATAAAATTTATATAAAGAAGATAGATCTATTTATGTAGGTTCTTGTAAATTCATGAAAATGAATATTTGAATTTTGTTCACGTTAAACTGAAATCGTTAATAGACAACTAACCAGATTTACATATCCATTCCAGGTAGCCATCTATCTCTCTTTCAATTTGCTGCTGCCTACGAAGTTTGAAGAAGGCTCTGCGGTTTTCTACTCTTTCTCTCTCTTTGGCAAATTCTCTGTTGACCAACAAGTTCATTTTTTAGTCAGATGTAAACATAGTCTTATTTTAAAATACTCTAGCCACTATTTTTCATAGTAATAATTACATTTATTGACATGATTACAAAGTCTGTGTAAAAATCTTTTTCTTAATTTTTTCTTACCCACTAAGAACACCCAAAACTAGATTTAGCATGAAGAATGTTCCAATTATGATGAGTGGAATAAAAAATAGAAAGTTGAAATAGCTTCCTAAGGCATCATTTGTCTGGGGAAACAAACATTTTAATGAAATTACTTTCTAAATAGCCAACAACCTTTCTAATTAAAACATGTCTTATATCTTACAATGAACTGAAAGACTTTAATTCACGAGAAGCATTTGATAAACCATGCTTTCTTCTACATTATAACATTAATGATTCTAGCTAAATACATTTTTCAAAAGAATACTTTAATTATGTCCACAACATATGTTACTTTGAGACATAATTTGGAATAAAAAACAACTCTTACATATTTTTGTTAATTTTTTTTTCTTGGAACATAATAAAAATAATGTGGTAAAAAATGTTCATTACACATAAAAAAATGTGTGTTTTATTAAAAATGTAACTGGTTGATACTTTCAAACCTTAATTTAGCATACACAGTTATTAATAATGTAAATTTTGAGCTAACCTGTTATTAATGTTTCAATTCTAATACATCTTTATACAAATTCCAACTGATAGATCAAGAATGGAGATTTTAATGATAATAATAAACTCAATTTACGAGCACAACTTTGTATAGATATGGAAAAGGATTTATTAATATTCTAAAGATTAAAGCAGAAATAATCCAAGGTAATTTTCTTACATAAAATAGGACACTGGTCCAGTCTTCCATTGTGATGCACTGAAACACAGTCAGCATTGCATAGCCAATGTTATTAAAACTTGTAATACCATCATTGGGACCAACCCAGTAAGGTAAACAAGTTGAAACATTTTCCTGGCAAATATATGAACCATATGTTGCTTGATCATTACACGGCCATATGTCATCTTCATCTCCTTGGTCTATGTTATCTGAAGATGTTTGAAAATATATTACGGGATAGTAGTAAGGAAGTGACATAAATGGGGATGGATTGAACACATCCTTAGAAGGGAAGAAGATAACATTGCAAAAAAAAAAAAAAAGCTACGATTGGAATCCCTAGGGAAGAAGGAAAGTGGGCTGGCCTAAGAAATCATGGAGAAGAACGGTAGAAAAAGAGGCAAAAGCCACTGGGTTCACATGTGCACAGATGAAGAGAGCTGCCCAAAACAGGTGGAGGTGTGATTGCAGCCCTTTACCTAAGGGACCACAAAGGATTAAGTCAGTCAGTCAATGGTAAGAATAAACAAAACTAATGTATGAATGTAAAAATAATGTGTCCTTTGTATCTATATTGTTATCTATATCTATATAAAAATGGAAAATATTTATCACTAATGGTACACAATTCTTTTTTCTAAGCTACTCTATTCTATTTGAAGTGTGAATAAGAGTGGGAAATTAGTTCTGTATAAAGGATTTTTTGCTCCATTTCTGATTTCTTAAAAGCCTTTTGAATTCAATACATTTATTACTTTATTTTCTCATAAAGCATAATTTAAGGAATTTTAAACTCTCGTGTTTTCTCAACAACAAAAAATACTAGCAGTTAAGCAGTTTTTTTTAATGTTTCTTTAGCTTTATTGCACTAAATTGAGAATCTACCTCAAGAAAAAAAATAACTTTGTCACTGGGCTTGGTAGGGCAAACTAATATTTTAGATCCAACACTGACTACATCCCCATTTTGATCTGTGAACTAATAAATAGTCTGTTAAAAATTTATTAAAACAACCAATGAGTTACCTTCAGAGTAATCAGTGGAGTCCACTTTGTAGCAAGCACTTTTAAATGCACCAACATAAAACTCAAGGCCAATGATTGCAAACATGGCAATGGCAAAAAGAACGAGGAGGCAGACCTGCAATAAAGGTGCCATCGCTCGGATGATTGACATGAGTACTACCTGGAGGCCTGGTATGAAAAGAGACATAAGAATCAAACCCTATTTTAATTTTTTAAATGCCTTTAAAAAAAAACAAATCAATTTGTACAAACAACGAATAAGCAAAACAAAAATTGAAAAACAAAAAAACCAAAAAAAAAACAACAACCAAACAAAACCCAGCTATTTGATGTACCATAAGTATCAGGATTGTGGTGTTACCGAAGAGTAATCCCAGAAACTTAGATTTATGTTGAACTAATTAGATTTACTGATATTTAGGTTTCTTTTGTGTTTGTTTATTAAATGGTATTTAGGGAATGATATTTATGAAATTCAGTTTTTCCTTAATCAAGGAGGGCTAATATCAACCAACAAATAATTTTATATTGACATGATTTTGTCAAGAGTTCCTGTATTTCAAAACATACTGGGAATTCCAGACACCAGCTTGAGAGGTCGAAGCACTCTGACCGCACGCAAAGTGCGAAGGTTGAATGTACCAGAAGACCCACTGGAGGCAAACAAGGTGATAAACCTGTGAAAAGTAGGAACACAAATTAATAGTTGATAAATGATTGACTGACAGTGTATAACATAATTATGATTATGATATATCATAAAAAAGGAACAAATTAATAAATTATAAATGATTGAATGACAGTAGCCTATAAAAAAGGAACGCAAATTAAGAGATCATAAACGATTGAGTGACAGTATAATATAACATATGATTCTGACACATCATAAAAAGGAACACAAATAAATAGATAATAAATTATTGAATGACAATAGCCTATAAAAAAGGAACACAAATTAACAAATGATAAATAACTAAATAACTATTTTTGACTCAAAATTTTAACATAAGATTATGAAACCTAAAATAATTTATGACATATGATTGTGATACTCATCATTCTGTTAATACTTAGTTGTGTTATTTTTATTGTACATGTCTTTATTTAGTGACAAAATCTTAAAGGTCTGACTTTACTTCTTATACTAAAATCAACTAGAACTAAAAAGGCCTAGCTTCCCCCCCCCCACCCCGTAGTAGATTTTAAAATGATGTATTATCATATTTTAACAGAAAACTACCACACCAAGCAAATGAATAGCCTAGGAATGAAAATTTAAATAATACAGCTGTTTCATTAATTCCTAAACCAGTTTCAAGCCTTTGCTTTAAAATGAAAATGAAGTATGCCATTTATCATCATTTCAAGTGTACTACTCATTGTGAGGTTTTAAAATATTTAGACATTAACTAGGCTTAAAATAAATCATAGAGGTAGCTATAATGTAACACCAG